CAAGATACTTGTGAATGAGCACAATGTATACACGTCTCCGTTGGACACAGTCCCCAAGTCGCTTGGGGTCCACAATCAGTTTAGCAAAAAAATAAGATGTCAGCTTCTCCAAGTAGCGAATGACAAGGTGCCAACATCGAAGCAATCCTACCACATTTTCTAAGATGCAAAGAAGTGGCGAAATTGAGTATATTGTTCTCATAGCCTCCCGGAAAACTTCCACAGCTTCCTCTTCAAAGAGAGATGAGTTGTTGTGGAGTAGGGAGAAAGGTTGGCAGGGAAATCCTATGTCGTAGCAAGACACATGTCTAGGCAGATCTCTCCGACTTCTTGTCAGAATATCGGTATGAATCCTCACTTGAAGTAACATTCTGTCAATCCCCTGAACAACAAATTGCTAAAATTCAGTGGAAACAAAAAGGTATAGCTCCCATGTTCCCCAAAGTAACTTGCATTAAAGGCACTCCTGAGCTTCAGTGTTTGCAAGAAGAAACTTTAGCCCTGCATGTGCACATTCGGCATGTGAGAGCACTCGGCATCGATCTCCAGTGATCTCCTTCAAAGCCCACCACGAGCCAGCAGCTCCAGAACCTGAAAAAATGTTGGTTGAAAGTTGGCTGAAAAAATGTTTGGAGCAATTGGTTTGTAAGTTTGTTTTGTGTTTCTTTTTGACAAGATTAGGCAAGGAACAGTCTGACATCAGGGAAAGTGGAACGTTCAACCCAGCCAAGAAGTCTGTAATGCCTGGCTGCCACAAGCAGTACCAGTTGACATGTACATTTGATCACATCACAAAACTGAGCTGTATATCAATGAGAGTTTGATCACAACACAAATTTCTAGCCAAGTTTCCTGCCCGGGATGCCATCCTTCGACCCCAGCCAGAAACATGACACACTTGCACTGGAGAGAGTGTCACATGAGGCCTCAAGTCACCAGTCCTTAGATTGACTTAGATGTCAACCAATCTCAACCCCACTAAGTTTGACATGCCACAAAAACAAATGATGCATTGAACATTGGAATGGATTTCCCCTTGAAAACATGAACCCCGAAACTTGGAAACTTGAAAACTGGAATGCACAACTGTTTGAACCCCAACTAATGACAAACAAGAATCACTTCCCTCCGAGCCCTCTCAAGTGGGTCAACATGTGATGACGAGCTTGAGGTGGACGAACTGGAACCACCCGAGGTCTCTGAAGAATCGCCATCACCATCATTAGATTCACTATCACTATCCAGTGAGACCCTGCCAAGCCTGCTTTGAGGCGATCTAGACCTGTCTGTCATTTTTCAGTATCATGAGCCAAGATTCCTAACAGCACTGACTCGGAAACAAAGGTGGCTTTTCATGGCTTTTGGTGCACTGCACTGACATCACTCTGACCCAGTGGCTTTTGAAAAGTAAATGCTGGCAGGTAGCCATATGTAGCCCAACAGTGCCAACATAATCGAAGCACAGCCTCACCAGAGAAAAGAAACAACCCTGATACATGTCAACTATTTTGCATAAATATTATCAAACATTTTGAAAATTGAATGCTGGCAGGTAGCCATATGTAGCCCAACAGTGCCAATATAATCGAAGCACAGCCTCACCAGAGAAAAGAAACAACCCCTGCAACAAAAATTGCAATCAATAAGCAGTAGCATTAAAGAAAGAACAGGCCAGTGACCAGCAGCTGCAATGTAAGTCCATTTGTTTGCACAATCAATTCACTGGAAATTAAATGCAACCACGCAACCCAATGTGGTATATCGAAAGAAGCCTCAGATCACACCAGTGGCACGTAGCAACATGTGGCACTAGCGTGATGGTTTTGTGAATTCAAACTCTCAAGCATCAACCACACAAATTTCAATTTTGATGAATGAAGAGGCATAGCCATCAAATTGTCACTCCTTTTTTCTGCCATGCGTAGGTGCTCGATGTCTCTGTCACATTCTATTGTGCTAGCCTGCACATTTTATGCACAGCCAGAGCTCCCCTTGTCAAATTGTAGATCCTCTCCAAGGTCTCTGAGGGGCTTAGACCTCCTTTTTCACCATGGTCAAGCATCCGGCCGACCTGCAGGTATCAAAAAGCACTGGAAGAAACCAACATCACTTAGTCAAACAAAAAGCCAAACAAACTCTTGCACTTAGTCAAGGAGGTGCCTGAGCAAGTGCACTCTTTGCCAATAGCTCACCTTCTTCATTGGAGTTGACAATATATGATGCCATGGCCTCGGTTGACAATAGCTTCATGTGTTGTCAATGTCAAGAACTTCATTTAATTTTGTCAAGTTGCGATATCAGTGGCTGGTGTCGGCAATCTTTGGAATTGGATGACCTCTTTCTTCTGGTCTTCAGTCGTGTCTCCTTCGTCACCATCTTGGGATGTACAATGACCTGCCAAGAGATGCAATAGAATAAAATCCTGGATCGTTGAATAAAAAATGAACTTGCCACCAAACAACACACCAAGCCACCAATGAAATTTCTAATGCTCAAACTCTAAATAAATGTGCCTCCAGCTTTGGGAACTGCCCCCAATTTACTTGAAGCAGGTGTTGAAAGGTGAGAATCTTCAGAACCTGAGCTGCAGAAGAACTACTGAACTTATTGGTTTTGAACTCATTCCCAAACAACAACTTGAAAGCAATGCCATAGCAGCAACAATGGAAACTTCTTCAAGCTGAGTGACTCTGCTGTTGTACTGCATATATGTTCCGATCAAATTGGAGAGGGGGGCGGCTCCTCTGTCTCTCATCCTCCTTCTTCTGCTTCTTCCCATGCTTCCCCAAAGCCAAAGTTGTAAGACCATAGTCTTTGAACTTATCCTTCAACCTCTCTGTGGGGGGCAAAACGTAGCGCCTAAGTTCGACACCCGATATTCTTGGAAAAACATGCACATAATCTGAAACACACTTTTGAGGACATAAAATAAAATATTTTGGGAACATAGAAAAAGGTTGTCCAAAAATGTGGTTTAAGATGGCTTAAACATGAATGGCATTCTGAATTGACAACAAGCTGCGTTGTCACGTAGATTGAATGAATTGGTAGCCCTTGCTCTGTGACATTCTCCAGCGCTGGGTTCGAAAATTGGATCCTTTCAGGTGCAATGCTGGGTGTGGCAAGGGAAACTTGGGTCAAATTCAGGAGCTTTCGAGAACAAAACTTTGTGGGTTGAAAAGGACAAGTTCCACGAAATGCTCAGCCAAGTCTCTCCTCAGACCTTTTCACATCCACTCTAATGTGGGCAGGCCGTTCGAGTGAAGCCATCTCTCATCTCTAATTATCTCTAATCTGTCACTTGAGCCCCACTGTGGCCAACACCATATAATATGCTGATCTATGCTGCTTTGGTTGATAATACATCACAGCTGACAGGCTCACCACTGCTAATAAATTCGAACCAAGGAACAGTGATAAAGATACCGATGGAAGATCATTCAATGGAGCCATCAACCTGGGATGCAAGACAAAAGTGACCTCATTTAAAAGCTATAAGCTACCCCAAGAGCTGGGAAATACAAAATTTTGTGGGAAAATAAAAATCTATGAAATTCAATCTAGCAACGTGGAAGCTTCACAGATTTCGAAGGGGCCAAGGACATGATGTTTGAGCCATGAATATTCAGAGACCTGGTTGCATTTGGATAAAGACCTGGATGCAGTGATCAACTCTTATATATATATATATATTACTTTTCTTGTTATTTACAGATGTCATATCCTCAGCTAGATCAATGGGCGAGATTTTATAACGACCTAAAACTGCGACCTCTCTGGAATGATGGGAAACAGCATAGTGAAACTATGATCATTTACCCATAAGGATCAAACATGGGGGTATCTATCAGTGTAAAAATCTGTAAAAATGGGAATAACAAAATGGGAATATGATTGGAATATGATATAAAAATATCTGGGAGCAATGTTTAAGCTTAAGTGCTAGGATGTTGCACTGGATTTTGCTTGGCGATGTGTCTTTTCTTACCACTGGGGGGGGGGCAACTTCTCAGTGGCATCTTGGTATAAAAAAGCTGCAGAAATCTGGCAATGAGCACTCCGGCAATTGTCAATGAAACATGACCTAGCCTCTGGTAATGACTAATGGGATTTTAATGGGATTTTATAATGGTTTAATGGGATTTTATAGTGCTTCAATGGGATATGAAAATTGGATGTACCCTCTGGTAATGACTAACATAGCTATTGAAAATGGCCCAGTCGAAATAGTGAGTTTGTCACATGAATAGCATGGTGATTTTCAATAGCTATGTAACAAATTACCATAGATTCTATATGTGTTTGTCTGAAAGATTAGGGCAAAGCCACTAAGTCTGCTGAGTCATTATTTTCACATATGTTCATTACATACTCAAATTGCCAGTGTGGGAAACCCAAGCATAATCCATTCAATTCCCAAAGTTGACGGTTAAATGGTTGGTAAATTCGCATAACCAAATGGTTGGTTTGGTTTAGTGTTGGATCTACCAAATGGATCGGGGGTTGAATACATGGGTAAATCAACTGTTGAATTGGTTATTTAACATAGCCATGGAAAATCACCATTTTTAATAGGTACACCATCTATAAATAGGCCATTTTCCATGGCTATGTTAAATAACCAGAGGGTAAATCATTCCTGCCGAGAATGGCATAATAGCCTCTGGAAATCAAGTAAATAGTTACCTTCCTGGCACATGTTCAGGCAGGGCATCGCGCGAGGTCAAGGCAGCCACAGCACAAGCGACGCCGTTTCAAACATGGCTTGTTGAAACACCCCCCATTTAGTTCGATATGTTCGCGAAGGTTCGTATTTGAGTGCCCATTTATAAGGGATTTTCCAGGTAACCGTGTTTGATGGCACTGAAAAGCATCAACCATGTCAACAAATATGACTTCCATGAATATCCCCATGAAATATCCGCAGTTTGGCTGGTTAATTACAGTAAATCTCCGTCATAAACTTGGACTTCTTCTGACTGCCTTCCGGCCTCACTAAGGTGGACAAGAGCCAAGGTGTGAACTTTGGTCCTGCGCGCATGGCTTGGCTGGACAGTTCTTTTGGGTCAACGAATGTGCTGGGCTGGGATTTTATGAAAAATAAATCAGCATCAAATTCAATGATTCAATGGCTTGGTTATATTGTTTGGATCTATCTCCGCCATACTGCAGTTTGTTTGTTTTTTTTGGGACTTGGATGGGTTTATTCCATGGTGCAAGTTGGCGATTTGGGGGTGGATCAAATCACCAACAGGTGTCATAGAAGAAACGGGCAAAGGGATGACTGAAAGAGGCATGTGCGTCACGTGTTTGCATCCATGCGCGGAGTTGGTGTAATGTTGGTGTAATGTTGGTGTAATGTGCATGTTCCTACGTGTTTTACAACGTGTTTGTTTTTGTTTGTACCTTTTGTTTATATTTCCATATATTTTTTTTTGTGTGTGTGTTGTTGTTTTCCCTGTTTCTTTCAGCATTTCTGGTCATGAGATGTTCCTACGCGTTTTGCAGTGTCTCTTCCGTGTGTTTTTTTTGATTTTTCTGTTTGTTGATGTTGTTTATCTATGTTTCTTGTCGTGTAGGTGGTTCACATCTTGCAATGTTCCTTTTCACGTACGTTTTACAATGTGTTCTCTCTGTTTTTCTTCCTACGCGCCTCACAGGGTTTCAGGCGAGGGGTGGTGGGGGTGGGGGTGGGGTGTGGTGGGGTGGTCTAAAAACGTTCATGTGTACTTGCGCAGCGGCTTTGTTGGGTTGCTGGACAGCCCGGGCCTTGAACACTTGGCTTGTGGGCCATCCCCCCGAGGATATCCCAAAGGACAACTCGTGGCTTGGGGTCTGAACTGTGACGAAGTGCCATTTGGACCGTTGGACCCCCAATTCTAGGGGTGAATTAGAGAAACGCCGGCGCGTGATTGTGCCACGTCCGACCGTTGATGGGTCTTCAAGTTGGTTCCTGCGTGGATGCTGGCAAGAAACAAAAGACCTAACTAGTTTTTGGACAAAGATTGGGTGTAGGTGATGCTTGGACAGACACAAACCATGAACACAGACTGACAGAATCAAATAGAATCACCCTAATCATATGTACAGCATATTTATTTATATATATATGATTAAAAACAAAACATACTTATGTCAGTTTTTTTTTTAAAAAAATATTATTGTACTGTATTTTATGTATTTATTTTTACACATACATAGAAACGTGTTTTCACGTGTGTTTTTTTTATGCTTGCCCTGTCTGGTTGGTCTATCCTGATGCGCAGGATATCACGTGGAAAACGGTGCACTGGAAGGATCTGCAACTTAGTTTGGGAATCAGTAGTTGGTTGATGATCCGTAATGGTACAAACTACTTACAGGATGGTGCCCCCCAGTTATAGGTTGGTTTATAAACCCCATTAACTATAGTTATATCTGCCATAAACCATTGTTATGGGAGTTATAAACCAACTTAGCTAACTATGGGGCACCACCTTGTATTGAAAAGTGGAAATCAGATGGATGCAATTAATATGTATCCTTGATTATATACGTTCTATTATCATGATGTTATGTATCACTGACATGTACCAGAATATATGTTATGCAACATATTCTATTATCCATATTATGTATCATTCTGCAAAGTGGAAATCCCTTTTTCCAACTACAGATGGTTTGTGCAAAGCTGACGAAACTTGGTGGGGTTATCCATGGTTATCCTCTGTCAAAAGTGAGGTCCGGTGTTACTCAAATGGAACAGGCATGAACAGGACACCTGAGCCATTCAAGATACCCTGGTTGATTGGTTACCAAAGGGACTTATACTACCTAATTTACTGGGGATTATGATAACCCAGAGCTTCCGGGAAACCGTTTTCAACCAACTAGTATTTCATGAGATGGGAAAACGGGGTACTCACCTACCAGAAGTTTATCAATTTGGGGTTCATGTTGCCGGAAATTTCTGTTTCAATGGTGATGTTTCGCTTCTGTATTGGTGCCTGAATGGTCCATGAACCTACTCACCGGTGGCTCTAACCTCCATCTGAAGAGTTTCGGAACGGAAATTCTGTCTATGGATGATCAAGACCCAAAGTAACTTTCACCACGTTTCACCCTGGTTTCAGTTCTGATGGCTGGAGCCTTTCAATGTTTTTGCTCAGCTATACCTCAGCTATATAATGGTCGGCTGGATGGTTGACGATCTCCTGGACGAGGCAACCCTTCGAGTTTAGCTTCACTCCCATCATCATGTGGGACATCACCAAACCCAACTGCCTGAAGACCCACGGAGTTGTGCCTCTCTATGAGTGGCTTGGCCGGAAAGGAAACATGAGTCACATGAGCAATTAAAAATACACACCCGTTGGTTGATTGGGCATATTTTGGAGGCTTGTACAAGCTTTGTAAAAGAAGAACATCTTTATTGGGCATGACTATCCCATCATAGGGATACTCAGTTGATCCAAGCAGTTTGACGCGGCTTCGTTGATTCGTTCCACATGAGCCACGTTCTAAAGCCATTTTTAGGGTTTGGTGCCCCTTATAAGGGTGTAAGCAAAACCTGTGTGCGCCTGCGCAAGCAAAACGTTAAAGCACCGGCATCACCGGCATCAACGCATTTCCTTATTTGGTGCCAGGATACGAGACATTTAGAACATGGCTCAATATCGAATTTCCCACAGCACAGTGTGCGCTGGTCAATTTGTTTGGGGATGTTTGGGGATGTTTGGGGCACTCGCAACATCCAAGTCTTGAGGCCATTCAAACCAGGATGCATTTAAGACTAGCTTGCAAACCTTTCTTTGAGAGTTCACTTTGATCATGATGTATTTTGTTCCTTTACTGTCCTTCACTTGAGAATGGTTGCTCAATCAAGTAAAACTCTCTATAAAGTCCAATGTTCGCTCTTCGTGTGATCAGCAAGGGCTGCTCATGACAACGCTGAAGAGCAAAACTATACTTTTTACTGCTGATGACGTGTTTGATCTGGAAAGTACGTTTCTTCTGAAATCGGCCCTTGCGGCAATGCACATTGTTTTTTATTGTAGAAGCGTGCTTCTAGTTTCGATCCTTGGAAAGCAATCTTTGATGGTACCCTCTATGTCTATGCCTTGCATTCCTCCAGAAATATTATCTTTTGAACATGTTTACATACAGGATATCATCATCTCACAGAATCATTCTTAGTATTTAGTATTCAACAAAACAACGGGTCTTTTGGCATGTTTATTGCTCTCTACTGGGGATGACCAGGTTGATTAGGTTGACTGTGCTGAGGAACACACGTGTTCCTACTGATGCAGAGTACAAGATGCTTGGCCTATCTCTGTTGGGAAAGTTTGTAAAGGTCTTTGAGTAATCGCAAAACATGTGATGACTAGAAATCAATGGCCAATCGGTGGTTAAAACCAAGTTTGTTTCTTTGTTGATTGTGTGGTGGATAGTTCAAGTATGTCTACCAAACATGAACCGAAACTTTACAGGCTTGGAATCCAGGGTTTGAGCTTGCACATCAGCCTATGGTAACCCAATCATATGATCGATCAGTTCACACCACTGTGAGGGCTACGGAAGATCACTTCAATGGCAAACATCCATGAACATAGACACCCTATGTAGAGATCCCAAAAAAGATAGATACATTTTTTCAGCATGTTATTGATAATGTGTCCTCCATGATTTCCAGCTTCCCAACGTTTCTGTCATGTTAGTCTGGGGTTTCTATATTTTTTTGTTTTGCATACTTGCGGGATCTTGCCGGATAGACAACAAAAATATATTGTTTGTCGCATTCGAAACCCTTGTTCTGGACTTACTATCCAATACTATCCACCATCAAAGTCTTCTGATGTCGTATAGTTTTTATTTCCCTACTACAGCCTACAGACATTAAGTCAAGAGTTGGTCGCTAGTTTCCACTTCCAAGGACTGACATTTATGTGTTGTCCCTGCGAGGTGGTGTTTGCAGTTGTGCTTGTTGATTTATAGACCCATTCAACCCTAGATGAGAGAGAGAGAGACGTGGTAGGTAGGTAGGTAGATAGGTAGGTAGGTAGGTAGATAGGTATGTAGGTATGTATGTATGCATGTATGCATATATATATATTAATATGTATATATATAATTTGTAATATATGTATTTAATAACATATATATGATAATAAATATATATATAATGTATCATATTTAGAAGCCGTATAATATTTAATATTATATAATGTATTATAATATAATATAATGTAATGTAATATAATTTAGTATGATATAATATAATTTGTATAATATATGTACATATATATATATATAATATGATATAATATAAATATATGATATTATATAATTGTAGACATATATTATAATATAATATATAATAATTTAATGTCATATAATATAATATAATATACTATAATATAATATATATGTATATAATATTAATTGCATATAATAATATATATATATATGATATAATAATATATATATGATATAATATATATATATATAAATCATAGTATATATAGATAATATAAGATATACAATATAACTATATATATATATAACATTTTCTATTATATACATATATTATATAGATATATACGTAATTTAAACTATACGTATATAATATAGTCTGTATAATCTATATAACATATGTTATATATATAATATAGTATATATAATAATAATATAGTATATGTAATAATTATATATATATAATAATAATGTAATATATATATAATGTAATATATAATTTATATAATATATGATATATAATATTTAATGCCTATAATACCTATAATTCTTATAATACCTATAATTCCTATAATACCTACATTACCAATAATACATATAATACATATGCCATAAGCCGAGTAACCCAGTCGCCACCAGGAGTTTTAAAGCAGGAAACCCACCCTGGGATCCTGGACGCCGTGTCGGCGTAGCTGGAAAGCAAAGGGATTCGAAGGGGGGGGCGTCTTTGAATCTTTGGTTATGACTAACATAGCCATGGGGATATGGTGATTCCTGTGGGGAAACCTTCTGGGATGAGGAGAACTGAGGATATACCCTCTGGTTATGAGTACCATAGCCATGGGAAATGGCCCCTTTGTAAAGGTTTACCTATTTAAAATGGTGATTTTCCCATGGCTATGTGAGTCATAACCAGATGGTAAGTCCAAAACAGTGATATTCTGCGATGAACATGGCTTGTGACTTGTGCCCTGCCTCAACATCACTTCAATAGCCCAGGTGTAATGAAGCCCGGGTATTGATATTAACCCCACATTCTGGCTGAGTCATACTGATGTCTCAAGGACGTCGCTATAGAAATGATGATAATAGACTTGGCCCCCCTAGATAGCTAACTTATGTCTAGGCCATCGGATAGATAGGTTGTAACCCATGAAATATATCCTGTTCTGTTGGTGTTACTATAGCCAATCAACAAATTTCATGGTCCATTACCAAAAAAAACATCCCTCTAATATTAAGTACTCCTCCCTAGACACCATGGCTTACTATGTGATCTATACATTTTGGGACCCTGTATTTGGAAAGACTATAGTAACCTTTGGGGGGGCCCAGTCTTGGGGTGGTATTGATTTTATATGATTGGGGGAAGGGATTCCTTCAGATTTTTGTAGCAATAAGTGCCCCGTTTAGGTGGTGATTTGGCCACTGAGTCTAACCGACCCCTGCACCGATGACCACCCCCACATTGTCCAGGAAGAGTAGGGGTCGGTTAGACTAAGTGCCCCGTTTAGGTGGTGATTTGGGCACTTAGTCTAACCGACCCCATCTGACCCTTAGAAATTGGGGAAATCTGGGAGAATCACCAAATTTGATGGAAATAGTAGACCCGCCAATGCAACACTTGGATGCATAGAGCCAAAACTTGGGGAAATGTGGAGAGTTGATTGATAGCTCGCATTACAATGAGCATTCCAAATTATGCATCATGTTGGGAAGCCAACATTATCAAGGTAAACCAGTTAAAACCATCAAAATGCCAAAATGGAAAACATAGCGGTCAGCTCGATAGGGTCAGTTGAAAAAGTCTTAGAAGCAACCATCTCACCATGTAATTTTGTCACCATGGTCGGAATCTTGTTTACTGGCTAAAACCCAGGGATGCAAGGTGCGTGCCCATCGGTATTACTTTGTACTTAAACCCCTTGAAGCATAGGTACCATAAATCCCAACCTGCTGAAATACAGCAACCTTATCCAACGAAAAGTGGGGGCCCACCTCGCAGGGGCCTCCAGTGCCACGGCGTCACGAGGCATGGCTCATTGGTTTTAAGTTGTGGTTCCTTTCGGAGCATTTGGCATCCATGAAGCTCGGCCCGAATGGCTAGACTTGAGGCATTTGGCCTATCGAATTTAGGAAACATATGCATAGTAACATATAGCAGCATAGCAATTGTGTTATGCTTCTCCGGGGTCAATGGACTTTAAACAAAAGGTTGGTATCTTTAACCACCATCCATATCCAGAGTTTGTTGTAGTAGCAGTAGTAGTAGTAGTAGTAGTACTAGTAGTAGTAGTAGTAGTACTAGTAGTAGTAGTAGTAGTAGTACTAGTACTAGTAGTAGTAGTAGTAGTTGTTGTTGTTGTTGTTGCTGGTGGTGGTGGTGGTGGTGTTGGTGTTGCTTTTACCTACTCACAGACATTGGTGTGTTACCCCGAGGCTGAGCTTGCTTGATAGGTCACGTGATCTTACATGCATACATACATATAGATATTATGTATGTAGTTATTTTGTTTTTGTGTAATATTTTTATATATTTGTTTATTTATTTACATTTTTATTTATTTACAATTTCAGTTAGATGTATATCTATGCATACATACACGCGTTTGATAAACATGTATATATGCATACACTGATATCATATGTGTGTATGCATGCGTAACTACATATATATATATATACAAATTACATATATATATATACATATTATATACATATATAGATATTTACATTGCATTAAGGTTCGAATTCCTTTATGGATCTGAGAATTGCCTTTCAACTGGTCACTGTTTGCTATGAATCCACTTCGAATTGGCTACCCAATGATTTAACCCACTTCTTTGGCTGCAGGGATGTGTGTCAGTGTGATGGGAATTGAAGGGCGGGATGATTCCAAAATGACCAGCTGATCCAGCTGCATTTCAGGTTGGCAAATCATGTTGATTCAACAACATGAATGTTTCGGGTGATAGGACCTGTCGCGTTAATAGGTGTTCAAATGGTTTCAATGGTTTTTGTCGCAAACACATAGGACAACTAATTCCTGACATGGGATGAGGCCAGTTGACACAGACCAAACAAAAATCAGGTGCGTGGCCCATTGACTAAGCCGAGAAAAGAAAACATGATGGCAATCTGGAGCAAGGGGTTCAACCCCCTACCTGGTACAGGTAGATGGGGATGGGTCTAAATTTCGTGCAGAAGCCAAAAAAATGATATGATTTGTTTTTTGTTGGTTCTTAGTACTGCAACAATGCATTGAAATCGGGGTAGCCACAGAATTTGTGCTTTGAATTTGGGTACCCCAAAATTCACATGGTTTGTTGCAATACCATGTTCATTCTTCCCCATTCAGATGGTGATTTTGGGTTATATCCAAATTATCTCACCATATCAGCGACTTATCCCAATTTTCTATCCCATTGTATCACCATAGATATCCCCACATGTATCCCCACTCATATCCATTGCTCATATCCCAAATCCAATGACATATCACCGTATCATTACTTTCCCCATTACAATAGCCATAGGCCCAATGTTCAGACCCAATATCCACGATTCATTGGTGGAATGCCTATTTTTTTCTTCAATCCTCATCGCTTGGTTTTGGTAAATCCCAATCAACCCCATCACCCTCCTTACAACTAACATAGATGTGGACAACCCACCATTTATAGATCATGTTTTTCCACATGTTTTGTCATTTTTGTATGTTTACCCTAGGGTCTGTATATTTATGTAAATATATGGGCGCAACCATGGTCAACCGTGGTTCTGGGAATGAATATGAGATACGTAGTGGGTGCGAAATCGAAAACTTGCGCCAGTTGGTTTCTCGTGATAACTATATGAAGCATTGATCCATTGGAAATAATGGGATTATAATGGGATGCCATTTGCCAACTGGTGCAGGATTTCACAACCGTCCCTTTGTGTGGTCCCAACCCCCCGTGAAAACCTTAAGCACCCCCATTGTATGATCCCATTTTTGATGTATCCTCTCAAACCATGGTTCTAAAATCATCAATCTAATGTCCCCCGTTTATATTCAACACCCCCATTGTATGTTTTAAATTGTTCAAAACACATTTTACCGAAGGAAGTTTAGAAGTCAAACTTCCGACAATATGGACAGATGAAAAGCAGAGCAGGGCAGAGGCAGAGAGAAGAGAAAGATTAGAAGAAAGAAGATCAGAAGAGAAAGAGTCAGAAGAAAGAAGATGCAGATGCGCGAAAAGGTAGGAAAGTCGCGAAACACTGTGTTTTTCCAATGATTTGTGGCTCCTGAGGGTCGAAAAGTAGGCTCGCTAAAGCGGCGGGTGCGGAGCCAGCTGGCCAGATGAGAGATGAAAAAGTGCACGCCGTTGTGGCGCGAAGCACATTTCCAAGTGAACATATACAAAACACACCATTGTCGGACCACTTTTGGAAGTTGCAATGTCGAAAAAGTGCACGCCGTTGTGGCGCGAAGCACATTTCCAAGTCAAAATGTACAAAACACATCAGGTCCGGACCACTTTTGGAAGTTGAGATGTCGAAAAAGTGCACGCCGTTGTGGCGCGAAGCACATTTCGAAGTGAAAATGTACAAAACACCATTCTCGGACCACTTTTGGAAGTTGAGATGTCTAAAAAGTGCACGCCGTTGTGGCGCGAAGCACATTTCCAAGTCAAAATTTTAAAATCACTAGGGGTTCGGACCACTTTTGGAAGTTGCGATGTCGAAAAAGTGCACGCCGTTGTGGCGCGAAGCACATTTCCAAGTCAAAATGTACAAAACACCACATGTTCGCGCCACTTTTGGAGGTTCGGATGTTGGAAAAGTGCACGCCGTTGTGGCGTGAAGCACATTTCCAAGTCAAAATATACAAAACACCACATGTTCGCGCCACTTTTGGAGGTTCAGATGTCGAAAAAGTGCACGCCGTTGTGGCACGAAGTACATTTCGAAAATGTACAAAACACCACATGTTCGCGCCACTTTTGGAGGTTCAGATGTCGCTTCGCTTCACTACACTACATTACACTCCACTACACTACGCTCCACTACACTACACTACATTACACAACACTACAGCTACAACTACACAACTACACTCCACTACACTCCACTACACTACATTACACTACACTACACACCACTACACTACATTACACTACACTGCCTTCCACTACACTTCACTACATTACACTACACTACACTACACTCCACCACACTACAACTACAACTACAACTACGACTACACAACTACACTCTACTACACTCCACTACACGAAATTACACTACACTACACTACATTACACTACACTCCACTACACTCCACTACGCTACACTACATTACACTACCCTACATTACACTGAATGACACTGCACCACAGATAGACATGTAGACAGATAGACAGATAGATAGACAGACAGGTAGACAGCTAGACAGATAGACAGATGAAAGAGAGAGAGAGATAGATAGATAGATAGGTAGATAGATAGATAGGTAGATAGGTACATAGGTAGATAGGTAGATAGGTAGATAGCTAGATAGGTAGATAGGTAGATAGGTAATGAGATGAAAGAGAGAAAGAGAGAGATAGATAGATCGATAGATAGATACATAGAAGATAGGCTGGTAGGTAAGTAGATAGTCAGAGAAAGAGAGAGAAAGAGAGGAGACCTCAATCACCTTTCGATCCATCAGTGGCTTCGCTCTGCCATCCCTGATTCACAACAATCAGCCTCTCCTATAGGTTTCCTATTTTTGAAACTTCCGCCACCGCCTTGTGCGGTACTACTGGTAGATTGTTTTTATGAATTGCCATGTATATATGGTCCCAAATATGCAATTTAATACCCAGTTCATGGTGATGTTTCACACCTATTCAACTCAAACATTGCTATTCATATCCAATATGAAACACCGAAATAGGTGTTTTTTTGTTTCAAAATCACCAACCATTTCCGGTGCAGTTATGGCCCTTTACCAGTTATAAGTGCTTATAAGCCCATTTATAGAGTGTATAACCCCATTTATAACCAGTTACTGTATAACTCATAAACGGCCATAACTTTGGGTTTTTCACCGCAGGAATTTGAAGGGCGGCTTCATCTATTTGGTCGAGCGGGCCACCGGCACCTTCGTGGCTTCCTCAGAGCCTCGCCGGGACGATGGGACGATGGGATGGGATGGCAGAAAAAATTGGAGCAAAACATGGGATTTGTGGGCAAAGAACATGGGATTTATGGGGCAACAGAGATGGTGATGAATTGAATGAACCAAGAGAAATGGTGATTTAATGGGAGTTAACTAGCACAAATGATGATTTCATGGTTTTTTTTAATCAACAAAGATTGGAATTTAACATATTTCAATGGGGTTTATTCTGGGATGATGCTGGAAAAATCATCTGTGATCCGGGATATAGAACTGACAAGATGATCGGACCACGGCATGAAATGGGGTACTCCATGGGTACTAGACAAACGCGAAAACAAATGCCTTGAGTAAATTACATACCCTACGTTTTTGATAGGAAAATCATCTTCCAGAGCCTTTTTTGTTGACATGTGAAATTACTGGAATGTAAGGGTCCCAAGTAGATAGAGCTCAATCATGTTTCATCTCTTCTTGCTTGGACTATAGACTATGGACTAGTTGTTCAGGTACGTTCAATGGGAATTTCAGGATCCTAAAATGGAGGTACGTTAGTACCATATTGTTAGCCATATTTTGTGGCGATATTCCCTGGAACATAGCCCTGAAAACTAGGCCATATGGAATCGGTACCGCCAATAAATATCAATAAATCGGTTCCATCTCGATGGCCATATAAGATCCCCGAAAAAAACGAGCCTTAAACGTTTAGATATGATATCCTGATCCACACGGTGTTTGTAGATCGTGGTCTTGGAAAAACCCATGGGATTTTCCATGGAAACCCTCCGGTTTCATCTGGCTGCCTGGGAAAATCAACCATGTTTTATAGATCATGTTCCCACTAAAACTTCTATTTTTATCGGGAATTTCCCAGCCATATGTTTGACACCGAAAAAAAACTCGTGTTAGTTTGCTGACAACAGGATGATTGATCTTTCCGGCTGAAGGAAGGAATCTTTGCTTCAATCCATGGAATTGGGACATGATCCTTCTGCCAGTTGAAACCTTGAAAGTCAACATTCACCCCAACCAGCAACGATGTTCAATAGTCTGGATGATTCAGCAAATCGAAATAAGCAAGCTTCGCACATAAGATTGAGCGTGTGTTGGTGGATTTTTTGGGTGCAGCCACTCTGGCAGAGTGCCTGAATGGCGAAGTGACTGATGCAGTCACTCTGACTGCCAGAGTGGCTCAGTGATTGAGTGGCTGCGTTGATGTCTCGTACCATGAAAGTGGATGTTGAGAAAACCATACATTTGATCGAAAGAAACATAAATAGATTAGATAGATGGATGGATGGATAGATAGACAGACAGATAGATGGATAGATCGATCAATCGATCGATCGATAGATAGATAGACTACAGTAGATTAGATTCGATTAGATTAGAGATGATTAGAGTTGATTAGATAGGATAGATAGATAGTTAGATAGATAGGATTTGATTGGATAGGATTGGATTGGATAGGATTGGATTGGATTGGGTTAGATTGGATTGGATTGGACAGATAGATAGGTAGATAGGTAGGTAGGTAGGTAGAGAGGTAGAGAAATAGAGAGATAGAGAGACAGAGAGATAGAGGGAGCGAGAGATCGAGAGATCGGGAGATGGAGACATGTGTATAAAATATATATATACATCGAGAGAGAGAGAGAGATAAATAAATAAATATATATATATAGAGAGAGATCGATAGATCAATCAATCGATAGATAGATAGATGGATGGATGGATAGATGGATAGATCGACCTACAGATAGATCGAGCGATCCATAGATAGACAGATAGAGGGGTAGGGAGACAGAGCGGTAGAAAGATAGATAGAGAGACAGACAGCCAGGCAGAGACAGAGAGAGAGAGAGAGATATATATAATGAGAGATAATGACAGATAATGAGAGATAATGAGAGACAATGAGAGATAATGAGAGATAGATAGATAGATAGATTAGATTATATAGATGAGGTTAAGATAGGTTAGATTTGATAGTTAGATATAGTGACTATTCGTGGATCAATAGACGGAGTCATAGTCGCATGGGATCATCCAAGTGCTGAGGATATTTCAGTGCAGTCTTTGGCTCCGGATTCCAATGGGGTGCCTTGGCGTCACCTTCGTCACCTTTCAACTCACCGCGGGAAGGGACAGAGTTGCTGTTTTGAGACAAGAACTATGGCCATAGCGAACTGGAAAATGGCCATGTATAGTGAGTTTTCCCATTTTTCGAATGGTGATTTTTGCCATCCTGGGTGACTACCCTCTGGTAAACTATGGCTTGTTCTACCCATCCAACTAGCCATTTCTGACAGGGTGAAACCACGAATGTGGAGATATAACCAGCCGTACCAGGCATTTTTTGAGCGACAGAAGTGGCAACATTTGATGGCAACTTGCCCGGATACGTCGGCATATCGCTAAGAAGCTCTTCACCATCCGTTTTTCATTTCCTGCCAGGTGTTCTCTAAATTTGAACCTTTTGCTTCCCGCACACGCTGACAGAGTAAGGTGCTGATCTACTCGTGTATTGAAAATTGTTATGATGATGACTGGTTGGTGGTTTGGAACTTTTTTGATTTTTCCATATATTGGCCTTTCAGGTACACATAAGGACTTTTCCTAATGCCTCACCAGAGAATGTGGGCGCCTTCGTTGGCAGTGATCCCACAAACTCTGTAACTGCCCCCTGCATGTTTTCAAATATGAAAGTTCAATCTGATGTTTTTTTTTCCAGCACACACTGAGAAACAGACATAGGGACACACACACACACACAACTATACACAATCACCCTACAGCAAGCTCACCAGCAGAGCCTTATGCCAGATCAAATGCCGGACAGGTTGTCAGAATATATGTCAGATAGAATGTCAGATAATCTGTTTGACTATCAGTAGCCATCAGACATCCAACCTGAATTTGGACATGACAACAGCATCTTGCAAATAATTGATGTCCTTTGCAATTGTCGGAGAATTGGCTGTGGGCAAGATGGTCACAGAAAGAATCACTTAGAAGAAAGCATACTGCTATTCCATGTCGATTCCATGTGGGCTATGTAAGGAGGTAACTTGTATATTTGTATAGAAGGTTATCAAATGATTTAAAAATATCAGATATAGATTTGTTTAGTATAGAAGATCTATTTATTAAGTTAGCCTTAAAGTATCTAATACAAGTTACCCTTCTAGAAGGTGTTACCCTGGCAATTCGCCCCAGGAAATGACGATGACATTGAGCCCCAAGGACCCGGGAGACCTGGCCGGCTGGGGAAATCGCCATGGCTCCGAATTTCGCCATGGTGTGTATGATATATGGAATACATATGTAGCTGGTTGGTAGTTTGGAACATTTTAATAGTGATGGTTAATAGTGGTTGATAGGCTATAAACCAACAACTATGGGCATATTATGGTGATCTGGTTGGTGGTTTGGAACATGTTTTCCCCATATATTGGGAATAATCATCCCAGCTGACTTTCATATTTTTCAGAGGAGTTGAAACCACCAACCAGATATAGTAAACAACATTTAAACATATATATATATATACCCAGGTGAATAAATTTATATCGTGAAAGAAATCTATCAATAAATATATGGAATGAATGGATGGCTAAGTGTGTCACCAAGTGAAAACATTCAGACTACTGAAACCGGTCATTTCGCATAGCTTTTTTTGTTGATTTACCTACTGAAACTGTGTGTTTTTTCAATATTGGATTTTCCTGTAGATATACCATCTGGTTATGACTCACATAGCCATGGAAAATCACCTTTTTTAATAGGTAAACCCAGGTAAACCATCTATAAATGGGCCATTTTCCATAGCTATGTTAAATTCCCAGAGGGTAACTATATTGATATTAGAACTATGTTTCTATAAACTGATTTGATCACATGGTCCTATGGTACTGTTTACCTATAGTTGATTTGCCATTTGGTAATTTAACATAGCTATTGACAATATCCTATTTATACTTGATTTACCTATTCAAAATGGTGAATTTCCATAGCTACGCATTTTACCAGAGGGTACCTATCCCATATGCTCCATGGTGCTAACATTTGCCCGAACAAAATCACCCAGTTGTGTAGGTAAATATACCGTACATGGAGCCTATGGGTATTACATAATATATATATATATATCATCATTATCAGTTTTATTTATATATATCATATTATATCATCATATATTGACCTACTATTTTTTAAAAAAAACGTTTGCGCCTTCAGCCGGGTCCCGCGTTAACATAACGCGCGCCAGGATGTGGATCATCCCATGATCAGCGGATCGGCCTTGGCCGCCTGGTTTTGGGGGAAGGAACAGAGCCTGATATGAATAATACAGTACTAGTAATAACAATAACAGTAACACTATAGTAATAGCACTAATAATAACAATATAGCAATAGTACTAGGAATAGTAATATAACAATATAGTATATAAGGATAACACTATTATCAATGATACGTAATAGGAATATTACAAATAATATAAGAGTAATATTAATAACAATGTTAATACTATAATAATAATATGGGTAATAGTAATAGTAATATTAGTATCAATATTAATGATCACAATGAGTAGTAGCAATATGAATATTGATATGGTTTACGATATAATATTACTATGATATTGTAATAGCACTAGTAATAACACTGATAATAACAATATAGTAATAGCACTAGTAATAACAATAACAATAACACTATAGTAATAGCACTAGTAATAACAATATAGTAATAACAATACAGTAATAGCACTAGTAGTAATAATAGCAATAATACGAATAGATGGCTGAACATTGACTCCTCTTTAGGAATAGAGCTGGATAGTTTTGCAATAGTAATATTACCCACAGATGCCGTGTGTTGCCCAGACATTAATATTCTCCCGATGACTTGTTACATCCCCGAGTGGATGTGTCTAAAATTGGGGTATACCCAAAAAGAATTAATATAAATATATAAATATGGTAACTTGCTTTAGTCAATGGCCATTTCAGGAACCTAATTTGGAGGTACCTACCATATATAAGGCCTATTTTTCAGGGCTATGTAAGGGGATATACCCCCAAAATATGGCCAAGAATATGGTACAGTACCTCCATTTTAGGATCCTGGAATTCCTATTGATTTCGCCGGGGTTGTGGACGATGTTTCTGAATCACGGGTGAAGGTAAAGCAACATAGCAAGGCGGCCCCACTTTGTAGCCAAAAATTGAGTGTTTCTTCGGGGTGATTCCCAAAACCATAGGTTTCATTACCAAAATGGTCTAAAAAATGGGATTATTTTCGGGTACAGCATAGAATTGGAGTAAAATATCATAAATCATAGAATGAGTTGTCATCCCCTTGTTCATACGGGTTCATATACATACGGGAATCAGGAATCCAGAATGACAATGGGATGACCATAAGCTGTGTACCATGCTTTGGCCATGGCTCATTTTTTTTTGGATTGAACATGATTCACACATGTTGAAACCATTGATGAGTTGAGTTGATCGATTTTCCACAATGCCCATTCCGGTATACATGCCTTCCGTGCTGGGGGACTGGAAAATCAAGTGCAGTACATGAACTTCTGGTTGAAGATGCTAAGTGTTTTATTCAGAACACAGGATTGTTTGTCCCCAAAATACATTTTTTGGTTTAATTGACATGTGGGTTTGCCTGAACATAAGGTACCCAAATTTGATGACTTGTCATCATGTATCTAGATGGCCGTATTACCTGACATTCCCATGTGCACTATTCAATGTTTAAGTCATGTTAAATCCTAATTTGGTTGATTACATCCCATTAGAGTATGTAAGATAATTTAAAGCCAATAAAACAAAACATCAAAATTCCCACTGAATTCTCACGAAAATCCAATAGAAATGATTGACATATATTGAAATCCCATTTCATTCCCACTAACAGCCCATGAAATGCTGGATGGCAGTGCGACGAGACCTAGGTTCTGGCGCCTGATAATGAGTGGAGCAACATTACCCAGGAGTTGAAACAGGTGCCGGTCCGCCGGTCGGCTGGTCCAAAATAGATGGTTTATTTCACGGAAAAACCTAAAAATTGATGATTTGGGGGTACCCCTATTTTAGGACACCTCCATCTGTCGGCTGGCGTTGGTGGTTTCAATTAATCCTTTCACTCCAGTGGCTTGGAGGGAAGGATTTTTTAGGAAGGGGTGCCCATAGTCCCTTACGAATGGGTAGCCAAGAAGCTACGAATGAAGTTCCCAACCACACGATAGTCACCCTATTTGGGGATTTCAAGGGATATCCTTGGAAGCTGGACGCTGGGCGAGAACCTAGATCTGTTGGTTCTGCAGTGACATATTCCTCGGGCGTTGAGGGATATATAGGGATATAAAATTACGTGTATATATATATAGATAATAAAAGTAATTATTGGGATTTACCAGCAACAAATGGAGAAGGATGGTTTGTAAAGGGATATTTACCCTATTTGTAGAGTATTGTCCAAGAGAAACCGTAGGTTTTCCACATATACCCTAATTTACCCTAAAATACTCCTAATGAGGGAGCCAAAATGAATAGATCCAATACACAACCACGTTTTTTTCAGGTGGCATTTAAGATCATAGGGGTATAAAATATCAGGGGGAAGGGATCCTCAACAATTTCTTGTTTCTTTCTTTTGGCTAGCTCAAAAGAACTTCGCAGTACACACTGAAAACAGGTGTGTTTAGTTTCCGTATCTGAGGATGACTCAACCTGTCTTCATGATATTCTTTGTATGGGTTCAAATTTGGAGAGACTCTGGGCTGGGACCCCAGTGTCAATTTGCTGTTAGATTGTTTGGCCAGCAGGCTCCAAAGATTCTTTGCTTTTATTTAGCTTGAATGATGAATGTTCACATCGATTTATACCGTATTTAATATGTAGATCGATAGATACGTAGATAGATATATAGATAATTGCTGCTAACTCAAGTACGACTCAGTTCAGCCGTGGCTCAGCAGTGAGATAGATACTTTACATGTGGAAGTGAAATGTAGCGTTTGATGATATTTGATTTTCATGGGAGCCTAATTAATAACCAACCATGATACATCCCTGAATGGCTGAAACGGAACGGTCACAGTTGGACAATTGCCTTCCAAACTCCATACCATTTGTTTTGGCAAGTTCATGTATATCAACCTGCTACACAGATGGGTAGCTGTCAGTAGCACATGCCGGCAACAGGTGGCAAAGTATGTATTTGTTGCTCCCGCGTATCATGTCTGGCTAGTGTTGTTTTTGTTACCCAATACTTTCGAAGTTTGAGGAGATAGCAAGTGTCCTGATGCTATTATAAATATATATATACATATATACACACCCTGCAACTTTAGGGGAAATTGTCGCGCACACACACACATATATATATTATATACATGTATCCTTAAATGAAGTTGACAGAAGTTGCATCGCAGGTAGAAGTGAATGGTGAACGTGAGTTCATGCTCACATTTCTCTTCTCCTACTACAACCTCGAGCTGCAAGGTGGGAATGGGAGAGGAATACCTGAGTAGCAGAGGAGATATCAAAAGGCTTCAACAGCCATGAAAGATGTTTCTTTAGCCGAAAAAAGAAAGTGTTGATATGTGTTGGTCCAAAACGGTCCGAAATCCGAAACGATGGAGGGGCACCACCTTGCAGGGGTAGTTTTATCTCTTTGCTAACTTGCTAATTGTGTGTCCTGGTTTTGTGTTTGTGTTTTGTCCTGCTGCTTTTTGTTTCTTGTTCCTTGTTCTTTTCATTAGCCTTTTTGTATTGGCGGTTTTCAACCGTCTTTTCTCGAAAACCGGTTTCTTTGTTGAATCCTGTGGGGTTGTCCTTTCTCCTTGTTCCTTTTCCTTGCCCTGTATCCTTTTTTTGCATCAGTCTTTTTATGTTGTCTGTCTCCTTTCTCTTTTTCTGTTTTGCTTTCATTAATAGTTGTTATTTTAGTGTTTTTTTGAATATGTTGTGTTCCTTGTTTGTTATTGTTCTTTGTTTTTCTTGCTGTTTTTGTTGTCAGCAATATTATTTATGTTTCTTTATTTAACTTGTGTGCTGGTGATTCTACATTTTGGGATGCTTCAACGCAACTGAGTAGATTTGTGTTCAATTGCAGCATGTGTGTGTGGCATAGTGAGCAGCTTGAAGTTGCTCTGCATGTGGCGTATGGAAGCCTTAGGGCTGCAGTGCTGCATGCTTTAGGTGCAGGCAAGGGCTACACACCGCACACCGCACACACACACACAAACGCAAACGCAAGCGCAAGCACAAACGCACACCCAAACGCGAACGCAAAAGCAAACGCAAATGCCAAGCCAATCGCAAACGCAAACGCACCACACCACACCGCACCAGACCACACCAGACCACACCAGACTCACCAGACCACACCACAACACATACCATACACATCCATACACATCCATACACCGCGCACCCAACACCCAAACACCACACACCCAACACCACACACCACACACCGCGTGAAATTTTACTGTAGACCTGGTTGAATGGAAAGTGCTAAGCCACTAAGCCAAGGACCACATTGGGCAGATTTATTTACTTGGGGTTGCTATGATGATAATGATTTATAATGATTTACTGTGTAGAATATGCATGTAGAATCATGTAAAGCTGTGACATTGATATCACATTATAATATCATATATACATATACATATATATATATATATACACATATATATATATATACAGTAGGAGATCTCGGTCCCGCAAGTGATATCTTTTTCCAGGCGTTTACATGGTGCATCGCAATGTGGTGCTGTCGCAGTTGGATGAGATGGCCACCAGAGATGCCTTGATGAGCATTGTGCTGAACACCTTCTTCTCAGGTGACCGGGGTGACCGTGGTGACCGTGGGGTCAGGTGACCACAGGTGGCCACAGGTGACCGTCATGGGAAACCAACCATGGTTTCAATGGTTTGGGGTTTCCTGAGTCATGGGGACCTCTAGAAATAGATCCAGCGATTTTTGATTGGGATTTTCCATGAAATAAACCATCCAGCTATTGTGGTACCCGAATTTTAGGAAACCTCCACATACCAACCATAATGTGGAATTTACCTGGAATAGACTGGATTTTTCGACTTGGAGGATTATCCCATTTAGTAATTGGTAGTTGTTTGCAAGAAAGAGTTGAACCGGATAAACCAGTTCAGCGACTTATTAACTAACCATGGATATTGACAAACATGAGGAAATGTTTGGGGATAGAATGGGTACAACTCGATATAACCATCAGCAATGGAGGTTGTACTATGTTGCAGAAATCTAATGGGATTTAACTATCTAAAATGATGGTTTAACCCACAAAAATCGAGGTACTAATATATATATATGCATATAATGGGATACAATCGCAAGCATCGTTGAAAACCGTGGCTTGAATTCGACCAGGTAGACATAGGTGGTACAGGAAGTGCCGCTGATCATGTTGGGATGTTATAGGTTTGCTATGTGTAATCACCATAAACCCTACTTAACCTAGTTATAATTAAGATGTTATAAGCCAACTTACCTATCTAGTTGTGTTTCCCTGTATGTACAGGTATACCGTATTTTGAATTTATAAAATAATTTCAATCAATATATACATATATTATATAATAACGCCGGTGTTTCAGCTTAACCCTGGTGTTGTTGGATGATTCTATATATATATATATTTATGCTATATCTACCTTTTTTAAAGAAACAACTCAATGAGCAGTTTATTTGTTTTGGCTCACATGTCAATATGTATGGTTGACTGATTCATAAATTATATAAATTGGAAGTTGTGTTGCTATGGGCGTAGTTCATGAATCATTATGATGTTAAGTTATACAATATAGTTGAAGCTGTTTTGGCAATTGCCATGGACTTTGTGTATTTTTCTCGTCATTAAAATGCCATGGGGCTTCATGATTGGATGACACACCAGCAAGCCACTTGGGATATCATTGATAAAGGATGCTGGCCGATAGTGGCTGGTGGATGATACCCTCTGGTAAACGTTTACATAAAACTATGGAAAATCACCCTTTTGAATGGGAAAATCCACTATAACTGGCCATTTTCAATAGCTATTTTGACATAACCAGAAGGTAGTTTTAGTAGTTTTACTACCGGATTATCGTAATCTTCTCAGGTGCTATGCGAAGGTGTGGTGAACAGCTTAGGCGTCTACCGATGTCTACCTGAAATGGCCATGGTAAGCGATGTGAAAAAGCTGGTGCCTAAACGAAAGATGTGTTTAAGTTGGTTTATATTCATCCATATTATTATAGTATACTATATAGTCATTTCATGATCATAAACCCTGATACCCATATAGTTACTATATAGTTAATCTAGTTATAAACCGTTTCCGCGAGCGATTTTGGAAATCAGGTGCCTTGTCGACATTCAGTCGCCACACGGAATCATCCATAAAAAGTATAAAAAGGGCCCTTCTGGCATCAAGTTCGCGGTTCGCGGACACCATCAGATGGATAGATATGTTTAACCATATTTTGTATACCATCTTATACCCCAATGTTTCTATCATCATATTACCATCCCCCGAAAAAAAAAAAAAAAAAACTAACACCCTGCCATGAGTTGGGAGTTGGAAGACACCCTTCTCTGAATCAGATGGGCTTCTCAGGGTCAAACGTGTAGTCTGGAAAGTGGTCCAGTAACTCCTTTGACGAGGCGTGAACTCGTCAGGGTTCTTAGCATTACCAAACATTGGGCCAAACATCAGCATTCTAAGGCTTTGATCAATGATATTACCCCATATTATCCCGAAAAATGTTGCTGGTCCAAAGATGTTAAAACATGTAGTAAAAGCCCGATATTCAGCATTTGCATTTATATACAAAATATTATGTTAGGGTTATTTATCCCATTTATAAATGGCCTATATCATCCCATATCCCCACTTTCAAACCAGCTACGAGGACCATATGGACCATGGAATGATCCTCCAAGTTATAGGGATACCCTCTGGTTATGACTCACAGTTCGCCATGGAAAATCACCATGCTATTAATAGGTAAACCATCTATAAATGGGCCATTTATACCATGGCTATGTTAAATCACCAGATGGTATACATTGATGATCCCTTCCCCAGGCATCTTGATGATCGGCGTGATCATCATCGGCTACCAGGCCTTCAAACGCTTAGCCCAAGTCGCGCAGGACACAACGATGCGTCGGTGGCGCCCCACTTTTAAGCTGGTTTATAAGGCCCAGTTCTTATAGATATAGATATATCTATAATATAGATATCGAATGATATAGATATAGATATAGATATAGATATAGATAGATAGATAGATAGATACCCGTAGGTAGGTAGATAGATAGATATCTAACAGAAAGCATAGTTCACCTAGTTATGGTCAGCAACTTAGTGAAAGGGCACCACCTTGTAGTGGTTTGTGAGCGGAGAATCATATAATCATGGTATTGACAGGGGAATTTGCTTAAAATAGGTATTGATTTGCCCTTTTTCACATGCACATAGACAATCATTAACATATCTATAAGTATAGACATATGTATGTAATGTAATGTAATGTAATGTATGTATGGTATGTATGTATGTATGTATGTATGTATGTATGTATGTATGTATGTATGTATGTATGGTATGTATGCATGCATGTATATATTGCTATGTATTGTAATGTATTGTTATGTTATGTAATGTAATGTATGCATGTATGTATGTATGTATGTATGTATGTATGCATGCATGCATGCATGCATGCATGCATGTATATATTGCTATGTATTGTAATGTATTGTTATGTTATGTAATGTAATGTATGCATGTATGTATGTATGTATGTATGTATGTATGTATGTATGTATGTATGTATATACATATAGGTATTGATTTGCCCTTTTTCACATGCACATAGACAATCATTAACAAATCTACAAGTATAGACACATGTACATATATATATAACTATATATATATATGTGTACATATATATATATACACATACATATTTGTATATATATATATATACATATATATATACATATATATATATATTACATATATACATGTGTTTGAACATTATCTTCAATTGTGTTCTTAGGATGTGACTCCTCCCCTTTTGCTTCGTCCTTAGCACTGGGTAGGAGCAACGACGGGCGTTGCACGTCAAGGTGCAGGATGGCTTGTGGTGCGCCAGTGAAATTTCTTATCCCATCGTCTTGGTCTCTGTGCCCCGGTCGATGTAGAAATGAATGGGGGGTCAAAAGCGTGGCAATGTTCGCAATGTCAACCACCAGCTTACCAATAGTGGGGTACCAATGCAAGAGTAGTTTAACACTATTTTCAACTTAGCGGTAGTCCCGGTATCTCTCAATTCAATCAAGAGAGTTTATACTCTCCGGCTGGTGACCATACCAAGCCAAACCTTTAGTTTAAATTCTAATCTGAGCCACTAAAAACACCCCTGTTGATGGGTTAGCATAGGGGGTTACATGAAATGGCTTATTAAGGATCATTACAACCCATAATCGAATATTTTTCATGGCTCATATGTTCACATCCCAAGAAATCCAAGAAAGTCAACAAGAGATCGTCACCTCCGGTTCTGGAGAAAATTTGTTTCACCCTCTCCTCTATATCATGGATCACAACGTTCACCCTGTTCGTGATGATGTGTTTTTCTTGGATAGCGGACTATGTTGGTGAGGCTGCCAGGCACACTTTATGTCAAGATTATATCGGTTTGTCTGGAAATAGGAAGCCTTATAGTTGCGTTATCTAAACGCAACTATGGGACACCAACTTGTATACCCTCCGGTAATTCATCCAGAGGGTACAATGTGGGGCCCCCCAGTTCTAAGTTGGTTTATAAACCCCATTAACTATAGTTATAAGTACAATAAACCATAGTTATTAGAGTTATAAACCAACTTAGCTATCTAGGGGGCCCCACATTGTACCTATCTATGGGCCGATCAGTGCAATCTGCGTACTGTTCACCCTTCGACGCCCTTCGAGGTCAGCCCTTCCATGAGCAAACGATGCTGTACATTTGCCCATGAGTAGCCATGTATAGCAACACATATGTTTGACTGCATTTGATATGATTTATTAAAAATATATATATATATAGTATATACATATACATAGATGCATATGTATGATATTCAGAATACATACAGATTTTAATTTATTTATGTAGTTATCATACTGATAATAGATCACAGTATAGTACTATAGCCATGATAATTATGGTGTCTATGTTATGTCATAATAGGGAAGATGGCTATAGGGAAAATAAGGATTAACCAATGGATTTTGGGATACACTATGTTCAGATACACCCATATATATACACATTTGTATATCTGAATATTTTACATTATAAATAGTAAATGTATAAATTTATTATAGTCCAACTTATAAGTAAATATAAGTAACAATTCTATATTTGTATTTTGATTATAAACCCATTAACTAGTTCGCTATTTGGGTATCATAAACCAACATTATTGGAGTTATATATAGACCAACTTAGCTATCGTTCGGGGGGGCCCACATCGTAGTACAGCTATTGTCACCGACTCAGTCTAATCCAAATTATAATGATTAATTACGTAAATATTATAAATATGTATAATATATATATATACTCCCCGTTCGGTGCTGAAGGATTAATCTCATAGGCTGGACCCTATAAAACCACCAATTCATCCCGAAAATTCATCCCAGTTTCATACCTTGGATCTTCTTTTGAAATAGGTTTTCATCCCATGGCAGTGGTTCAGAATTTAAGTCTGTAGATACCCTGGGGCTTCAAGTTTTCATCCCAAAGGGGTGTGTAGGCTGATGATGTAGTATGTATGTTGGGCCCTAGGTTTTCATTCAATGTCACAGGTTTCCACCAAACTAATGGTGTAATCTCAGCTCTAGGTTTTCATTTTCTATTTGCTTGCTGCATGTACAAACCTTGATCCTTGGTTTTCATTGGAATTCGATCATCATCTCAAATCCATGCCAAGTGTTCCCTGCCGGACCTCATGTAGGAAGATATGGGACAAAGAATGTGCAGAAGAAAGTTAGAAAGGATGTCAGAAGATATGCCAGATAGAATGCCAGATAGAATGCCAGCAGATATGTCAGAATATATGCCAGAAGATATGCCAGATAGAATGCCGGATAGAATGCCAGAAGATATGTCAGATAGAATGCCAGAAGATATGTCAGATAGAATGCCAGAAGATTTGCCAGATAGAATGCCAGAAGATATGTCAGATAGAATGCCAGAAGATATGCCAGATAGAATGCCAGAAGATTTGCCAGATAGAATGCCAGATAGAATGCCAGACATATGTCAGAATATATGCCAGAACATATGCCAGAAGATATGCCAGATAGAATGCCAGCAGATATGTCAGAATATATGCCAGAAGATATGCCAGATAGAATGCTGGATAGAATGCCAGAAGATATGTCAGATAGAATGCCAGAAGATATGCCAGATAGAATGCATCAGATTTGCCAGATAGAATGCCAGAAGATATGTCAGATAAAATGCCAGAAGATATGCCAGATATAATGCCAGAAGATTTGCCAGATAGAATGCCACAAGAAAATGCCAGAAGATATGCCAGATAGAATGCCAGATAGAATGCCAGAAGATATGTCAGATAGAATGCCAGAAGATTTGCCAGTAAGAAAATCTATAAATGTCATGGTGGGGATAACACGAAGTAAAGTAATTTTTCTCATACCTTGGCCCTCCAGGTTTTTAAACTAGGTGTTTGGGATGAAAACCTGGTGCTGCATCCTAAGTTGAACACCCAACGGGGATATATTAACAAATGTTGCACCTTGAACACTGTGGGTTTCATTTTTTGCCTGGATTTCAGCATGATCAGATGTTGAACCTCAGGGGCAAAGGATTTCATCTTTTGCCAGAATTCAGTCTGATTATATGTTGTAACCTCATGGTCATAGGTTTTCATCCCCTTGCACAATGCCTGGGCTAGTGGTGTGGCAACTTTGAGGGGGTCGGTTGGGTCAAGGTTCTCAACTCTGCCAAAAAACGTCAAACCATAAGGTTTTCAACCCAAATCCTGCGATAAAAACCATGGACCCAGTCTGAGCGCAGCACCATACAGAGGATCTATATATATATATACAGATATACATAGTATATATATTTATATTATATACACATGCAACTAACAGTAGTAAAATATGTAGAGAAAATCCCCTAATGCTCCAAGGCCAATGACTTCATGGTCCAGGAGGATTCGGAGATTCGCTTGTGCCATGAAGGGTTACGTCGGAAGGGTGCCTTGGCGAAACAACGTCGGTCGCACCTTTAACGGTTAGAAGAACGGAGATTTATTGGGATTTATATAGTGATTTATTGGGATTTATTTGGATTTATTGTGATTTATTGGGATTTATTGATATTCATTGGATTTATTGGGGATCTAAACGTGGAATTCTGGCAAACATGGTGATTTTTTTAAAGAACCATGTGATTTCAGCAGCAACGCATGGTATTTATTCGGATTTTACCATGCAATGCCCTTTTTCGACCCCAAGTCATGGCCATGTCATTCAAGGACTGCTGACGTTTTTGGATACCAAAGACTTGGTCTGCAACTTTAAGAAGGCGGCCCCCGGCGGGTCAGCTGTGGCAACAGGATCAACTGGTCTACAGGATGGTGCCCCCCAGTGATGTTTGTTGGTTAACAAAAAACCCATGAAAACTAGTTCGTTATATCTACCATAAACCATAGTTATGGGAGTTATTTGCACCAACTTAGCTAACTATGGGGCACCACCTTGTAGTGATGGATTTATGGATTTATTCATTGTTAATTGATTTTGCCGACCTGAGGGGAATTAAAGATCAGGGCGAAGGGATTACCATCATATATGACAATTATGATTATCGTGACTACTTCCCGATACTGGAAAAGTGTAGACCACTCTACATTCATCTACATTCTGAAGGTCATGGTTTTCTTGAAGTCTTTGGGTAAACTGTTGTCGGTATCAGTGGCGGGAAGGAGTTTGAAAGTTCAAGAACGGTCGCATTCTCTGAAACGCGGGGATCGGTGCTATTTCGCTGGGCCTTGAAGATTGTACGCTGATCTTGTCTGGACGGATTGCTGTTCGGTATGTTGCAACAACATACATCAACATACCATCATATACCAATTTTATCCAATTATCTGGGTAAATTATAACGACCTCACTGCGACCTCACTATAATCATAGTTAGTAAGGGGAATTATCCCAAAATGGCCTTAGTTCAGGTTGATTAGTGAAATATTATTTTTTTTACCCAGAATTATACACTTTCCCCATTACCCTCAAGTAATTAAACACGGCAACGGAGAATTCCCCCCATTGAGTTTGATGATTTTCTTATTAAAATGCCAATGTATGGGGAATTTCCTAGCTAGCCATGTTTCATTACCGGAGGGTATTGGTGTTTGGATCAAACAAGGTTTTATTTTGGAGGTGCAGTGAAATGTACGTCTCCCAAATTGGGGTGCCTTTAAGCCCCACATTCTTTCTTGATATTATTACATCTGGTATGCATATTCGGTTCTATAAACACATATGCAACACAGTATAGTAGTATAGTATATCCCATTGCTTTAGTCGTATCCAATTTCTTTATTGCGGTGACAGGGTACATGTTCATAAATCCGCCAACACCGCTTTGGCGGTGAAGGCGTGCTTATTGGGGGGAAACAGCTACACTAAATGCTCAATCACATTTGTTCATATAGCAGTCGTTATATCAGCTTTAGCTGGGGGGGGCCAAAAACGGTTTCGCACCGAGACCAGAATTCGGTGGTGTTTTCGACATTTTTCGAGGATTTTTGGGTGTCTGAGCGCAAGAGGGTATTGAAATGGAATTTTGGGTCATTTTGGTAGCTTTCCGGCAATGGAAAAACGGTCCAAAATGAAAAAAACATTGTACATAGCAAGATTTTGCAGGGTTTTTGGATGCCAGAGCATTGAAAACACTGCAAAAACAAGTGTTTTGGACTGACGTTATAGCAAAAAACGTGTAAATTACCGTATGCTTGACTGGAAACATTACAAAAACACTGTCAAAAACAATGTTTTGGAAGGATTTCTTATATATATGTTGGAGTTGGCTACCGGCATTGGAACATGGAAAAATTGAAGAAACCACTGTAAATAGCGGTATTTTCAACGGTTGGGGAGATAAGGGAATTGGAAGCATTGTCGAACATGATGTTTTCGACCGGTTTTATGGCGACAAAAGTGTAAAGTACCGTGCTTTGAAGGAAACCATTGCAAAGACATGGAAACACATTCAAAGAACACGGGATTTGGGGGACTATCTAGGCGTCGTTGTCTAGCTATTTGAAATTCCGCAGCTTGGAGAGCCTCCAAGGGAGGGAAAAGTGAAAATTCCATAGCTTGGGAAGCTGTCACGGCGGGGAAAAGTGAAAATTCCCTAGCTTGGGAAGCCCCCACGGGGGGGAAAAGTGAAAATTCCCCAGCTTGGGGAGCCCCCACGGGGGGGGAAAGTGAAAATTCTTAGCTTGGGAAGCTTCACGGGGGAAAAGTGAAAATTCCGTCGCTTGGGAAGCTTTACGGGGGGGAAAAGCGAAAATTCCCTAGCTTGGGAAGCCTCCACGGGGGGGAAAAGTGAAAATTCTCGCCTGGGAAGCCTCTTAGGGGGGGAAAAGTGAAAATTGCTTAGCTTGGGAAGCCCCAATTGGAAGCATTGTCGAACATGATGTTTTCGACCGGTTTTATGGCGACAAAAGTGTAAAGTACCGTGCTTTGAAGGAAACCATTGCAAAGACATGGAAACACATTCAAAGAACACGGGATTTGGGGGACTATCTAGCAGCTTGGAGAGCCTCCAAGGGGGGGGGAAAAGTGGAAATTCCATAGCTTGGGAAGCTGTCACGGCGGGGAAAAGTGAAAATTCCCTAGCTTGGGAAGCGCCCACGGGGGGGAAAAGCGAAAATTCCCTAGCTTGGGGAGCCCCCACGGGGGGGGAAGTGAAAGTTCCACACCACCCTTAGCCCCTCTCACGGACCGAAATAAACCTGCGGTGTGGGCGGCCACCCCACGCGAAGCGGAGTGAATAGATATACAGATGCACATGCATGTACACACATACACAACTCTGGTCTTTAGCGAATAGTGACATGGGTTATAGATTGTTTAAAGTTTGAAACCACATCAGCAGTAGAGGTACTGTTTGAGGTATATACATACTTGAGATGGAACCCAGGTTCCCACCCAACGTGAGCCTCAGGCAGGTGGGCAGATAATATTCTTTTCCTACGTGCCTGAGCTGCCTGAGGGGGATCTGATGGCGAAAAGCGAAAAAGAACTAGTTTAACAAAAAAAGTGACTATTTGTGTTGGAATCCACCATTACATAACTCGTTCAACTAGTCATACTTTGCTTGAGAAACTGAGTAACTAACTAGATTAGCCAGCATCACTTTTTCTCGTGGAGCCTTGGAAGATGCCAATCTTGACCAAGGACCTTGGTGCTTTCTGTGTGTAAAAACCCATGGAAACTTTTCGAAGTTTGACCAGTCAACTTTTTTCTGTGGCTGATGTTCACAGTGTCGATCAACATTCCGATCAACATTCCGGGATGGGTGATTTTGCCCATTGCCTTATCCCGTAGATTGAAAATTATCCACAATGGCCAAGCATTATGAACCATTATTAACCATTATAGCCATGATGTTTGACTTTTTTTGGAGATCTTTCTCCACCATCTTGGAGTCTCCAAAAAATTGGTGAGTTCCCCTGTGATCGTCCCATCGGACCGTTTCAGATTCAGCTGTGCGTGTCTGAACATTGCCATGGGGAGCTATGTTTGGGGCAGTTACCATCCCCAAATTTAGAATTTTGATGGCTGGTACAAACCAACAAACTATAGGTGGTTTGTCACGAAAGGTAGCTCCAGAGGGGCTACCTTGAGTTTTACTTTACGAAGTAAAGGGGAGGGCGGCCAGCCCCGTTACCTGATTCTTCAGGAGATTGCTAGTCATTTTAGTCCCCCCCCCCTCCACACCTCCCACGCACCCTAAGAGCAGACTCAAAACATTGTAATTTACAGTATTTTTGTTCTTTTCGGATCAAGAAACCACATTTTGCTACATGGTGAAACCTCCGTAAATACCAGTGTTTTTGCTAGGTGCTGGCAAAAAAACACTGTAAATACCGTGCTTTTTACTACCAGAGGCAAAAAACATCGTAAATACTGTGGTTTTGGGCTTCCGACCCGCCAAAAACATCGGTATTTACGGTGTTTTTTGCTCCGAGAGTTGCAAAAACACGCGAAAACACCACCGATTTGACGATTTTCGGCCACTACGGAACCGAGCAAAAACGCTGCAGGGGTAACACCAACACCAACAACAACAACACCAACAGCAACAGCAACAACAACAACGACGACAACAACAACAACACCAACACACAACGCACAATGCACAACGCACAACGCACAATGCACAACGCACAACGCACAACGCACAACACACAAAACGCACAACACACACACAGCACACACAACACACACAACACACACAACAACACACAACAACACGCAACAACACGCAACAACACACACACAACCACACGCAACAACACACATACACAACAACACACAACAACACACAACAACACACCACAACACACAACAACACACAACAACACACGCAACACGCAACAACGCAACAACGCAACAACCCAAAAAAAAAAAAAAACACAACAAAAAGGAAAAAAAAAACAAAAAAACAAAAAAAACACAAAAAACACACAAAAGGGAAAAAAATAAATACAAAATGAAAAAACAAAAAAAACGCAAGCAGACACAACAACACACGCAACACGCAACAACGCAACAACGCAACAACAACACACAACAACACACAACAACACACAACAACACACAACAACACACAACAACACACAACAACACACAACAACACACAACAACACACAACAACACACAACAACACCCAACAACACACAACAACACACAACAACACACAACAACACACAACAACACACAACAACACACAACAACACACAACAACACACAACAACACACAACAACACACAACAACAAACAACAACACACAACAACACACAACAACACACAACAACACACAACAACACACGCAACACACAACAACACAACAACACACAACAACACACCACAACACACCACAACACACACACAACAACACAACAACACACAACAACACACAACAACACACAACAACACACAACAACACACCACAACACACCACAACACACCACAACACACAACAACACACAATAACACACAACAACACACAACACACAACAACAACAACAATAACAACAACATCATCAACAACAACAACACCACCACCATCAGCAGCAGCAACAACAACAGCAACAACAATAACAACAACAACAACAACAACAACAACAACAACACGAACACAAACAATACCAACACCAACAACACGACCAACAACACCAACACCACCAACAAACCCAACCACACCAACAACACTAACAACACTAACAACACTAACAACACCAGAAACACTACCACCACCAACAACACCAACGCCACCAGCACCACCAACACCAGCAACACCACAACCACCACCAACCCCAACCACATCGCCGAAGCCTTTCAGTCGCTTTTAGCAGACTCCCCTTCATATTTTTGGAAAGAAAATGGCCGCGTCGCTTTTACCAGACTCCACTTTATGTATTTTTCCCTCCCCTCTCCCCTTCATTTTTTCTTCGGTTCCTTTCTTGCTTACCTACCTTTCGTGTTCCCCCTCTCAAGTTGTATTGCTCTATTAGCAGTAGTAAGTAGTAGGCTATAAGCCTACTTATCCCACTTAATTAACTAGGGTTATAGCCTACTAAGTGGGATGAGCCAGTAAGTTTTCTGTGGTTAGCCATGGTTCGCCCACTACAGTTATGGCCATTTATTGGTTATAAGTGGTTATGAGTGGGATTAAACATTCCATAAATGGGGTTCTGTTAGTACTTATAGCTGGTATTTTGGGCCTTAACTGTACGATACCTGGGATGACCAACGACGACGCGTCGATTTCCGCAACTTAGGAGTGGCAATCCTGGACCAAGCTCGGACCCAGTGATTTGTGCCTTGTCCAAAAACCGTTGCCGTGGTCCCCCGAAGGAAATCGCGAAGTTGGTGCTTAAATATCTCTATAACATCCAAGAACCATAGGTTCATGATACGAATAACATTCTTATAACATCCTATAACTATAGGTTTCATGGATTTATAAACCAACAAACTTATAACTTGCTGGGCCCACATTGTAGGAAACAACCAAACAACATGGACGTACAATGGCTCGTGTAAAGTAAGGATATACTATCGTAAATTCAATGCCATAAACCATCTCCCCAAATCACCATAAAGCATCAAATAGCAAGTTTATGATTGGGTTTCCCACATGGAAATATAATGAAGATATAATATGATATAATGAGAATACACTGGGGAGATATAGTTCATCAAACCGACGAGTTTTTTGGGGCCTTGGGGCCTGAGGGACGCCTATCTTGATGATCTAGTGGATTCGGGGATACCCTATAGACTTAGACGCCACTAATATACCATCTGGTAAACTAACATAGCTATAGAAGCCATGACCCATTTATAGTTGATCTAGCTATTAAAATAGTGATTCTCCAGTTAGCTATGTTAGTTTACCAGAGGGTAGCTATCCAGAAACGCGAAATAGAATCACTGTGAGTTGATTACAGCCCGATGAAACTAGCCAAAGACTATTTTTGCCTGACATGACAGAGAAAGAATTGGAATACGGGGAAGCGTATGACAAAATTATTAGTTTGTTGGGCCTGATCAAACTGAGTTGGCCCTCTTCCTCAACGTTGAACCTGTTCAAATCATAGTGTCTTGAAATGTTGATTAAGTGCTTTTGGGCAGTGCCTTCGAGTTTAACTAGTTCCACATTTCTACAGGCCCAATGTATGTTATATAGTTAGTCAATGTAGAAATGAAAACATCTAGTATGTATGATTCATAAATGATAAATCTTAACTCTAATTATATGACTATATTTCATTCAACTTAAAGCCACGAAAAGCTGGAAATTTGGGAGACCACTGCGATTTCTGCGATTTTGAAACGAGGCAGCTGAAGTGGATGCGCGCGAGTTTGAATCACTATGCCGCTGAAACGGGAGTTGGGGGCCCTCAGTGGTTAGTCGGGAAATCCCCAAGAAAATATTAGGAGGTTTTTAGGTGGAAAGATCCATGGGAGATGGACAAATCAATCATAGATCTATAGGTTTTGGAATAATCAAAGGATCACCCATTACCCATAGGATCCATGTATGCTATATATGCTAACATTTGGGGTGTATTGATGGTAAATGTTACCATATATAGCATACATGGATCCTATGGGTTATAATGAGAAATTTATGGGAAAATCATCGAGCCTGTGACATTTTCCATGATTCATTACCAGATGGTAGGGGTGCAACAGTGACACACATGACAAGTGCGAATCTTGTGGGTCCCAACAGTCCATCGGTACCCTGTAGCCATCGCCATTTTGGTGCCCATGATGGTCCCATGTTTTGACCATGGCACATTTCGGGGTAGATCCACAACAAATGTGGCTACCATTCCCGCCATTCCCTCAAATTTCCTGGGATGAGCCATCGAAACCAATGGTGACTGGATGATAGGTATACCATATCTACACCATATTTGTACCATATCTATACCATATCTATACCATATATATATAATATATATAATATATATATAGCAATACATTACATACATTACATACATTCCATACATTCCATACAAACCATACTTACCATACATACCATACATACCATACATACCATACATACCATACATACCATACATACCATACACCCCATACACCCCATACACCCCATACATACCATACATACCATACATACCATACATACCATACATACCATACATACCATACATACCATACATACCATACATACCATACATACCATACATACCATACATACCATACATACCATACATACCATACATACCATACATACCATACAGACCATACATACCATACATACCATACAGACCATACAGACCATACAGACCATACAGACCATACAGACCATACAGACCATACAGACCATACAGACCAGAAATCCAGACAGACCAGACAGGCCAGAAATACCAGGAAAGAAAAGACAAGGAAAGAAAGAAAAGTAAAGAAAAGAAGAAAAGAAAGAAAATAAAGGAAAAGAAAGAACAAGAAAAGGAAAAGAAAGAAAATACAAAAACAGAAAGGAAAAGAAAGAAAAGAAAGAAAAGAAAGGAAAAAGAAAGACAAGAAAGAAAATAAAGAACAAGACATAACATAAAGAAAATAAAATTGTAACAGAAAATAACAATAATAAACAGACAGAAACAGAAAGACCATACAATGAACATACAGACAAGAAATAACATAAATAACCAGTAAAAGAACATACATACCATAATGGCGACGGATTTACCATCCCATACCATCCCATACCATACATACCATACATATCATACATACCATACATACCATACATACCATACATACCATACATACCATACATACCATACATACCATCCATACCATCCATACCATGCATACCATACATACCATACATACCATACATACCATACATACCATACATACCATACATACCATACATACATACATACATACATACATACATACATATATATATATATATAAATACATTTGTAGGGTTTTAATGACTTGTGCTTTGACAGGAGCATGATAGATCTGTGGTAAATCAGCTCTAAGAGTGCAGGTGTGCGATTCATAGGATTGTCATGTTCGCGATGACGTAATCCAAAAGTCAACGAATATGACGCCTTCCATGTTAGGTCGGCGACGAACGTGCTATCATCTACAGATATCTGCAGTAATCCTTGTGTTTGTTCCCCACCTGCCAGGTGAGGGTTGTTAGATTTTATCACAGTTGTTCTCCTCGGCTAGCTGTCCTCCTCCTCCTCCTCCTCGTCCTCCTCCTCCAGTTTCTCCTCGACCATGTCTGCATCAACTTCCACCTGCACTTCCGCCTTGCCAACTCTTCGCCAAGCTCTTTGCCAACTTCCCAGCTCAGTGTGCACCGCTGGACCTCAACTGAGCTGGGAAGGTCCCCGGTTGAGGTCCAGCGGTGCACACTGAGCTGGGCAGGTCCCCGGTTGAGGTCCAGCGGTGCACACTGAGCTGGGCAGGTCCCAGTGTGCACCGCTGGACCTCAACCTGGGACCTTCCGAGCTCAGTGTGCACCGCTGGACCTCAACCTGGGACCTTCCCAGCTCAGTGTGCACCGCTGGACCTCAACGGCCAGATAGAATGCGAGAAGATATGCCAGATAGAACGCTAGATAGCACGTCAGATAGAATGCCAGAAGATATGCCAGATAAAATGCCAGAAGATATGCCAGAACATATGCCAGAAGATATGCCAGGTAGAATGCCAGAAGCTATGCCAGATCGAATGCCAGAAGATATGTCAGATAGAATGCCAGAAGATTTGCCAGATAGAATGCCAGATAGGATGTCAGAAGATATGCCAGAAGATATGCCAGATAGAATGCTAGAGAGAATGCTAGATAGAATGCCAGAAGATATGCCAGAACATATGCCAGAAAATATGCCAGATAGAATGCCAGAAGGTATGCCAGATAGAATGTCAGATAGCATGCCAGAAGGTATGCCAGAATGTTTGCCAGATAGGATGCCAGAAGATTTGCCAGATAGGATGGCAGAAGATATGCCAGAAGATATGCCAGAAGATATGCCAGGTAGAATGCCAGAAGATATGCCAGAACATATGCCAGAAGATATGCCAGGTAGAATGCCAGAAGCTATGCCAGATCGAATGCCAGAAGATATGTCAGATAGAATGCCAGAAAATTTGCCAGTAACAAATCGATAAATGTCATGGTGGGGATCACACGAAGTAAAGTAATTTCCCAGAATGGGTTCAGTACTAGGTCAATCTAGGATGGGTAGAAACTAATTCTTTAGTCTTTTGGTACGGGATTATCTACGTTCACCAGCAAAGAATTTATCATTTTTTGATGGGTATCTGGCTGATTGGCCATGAATATATGGAAACTGTAAAGCAAAATCCTAAATTTGAATGTTTCAATCCAGGCCTCAAGCCAAGTTGGAAGCGTTTCCCAGTGTTTTTTTAAATCATTTTTGTCATTTTTGCAACTGAGGAAACTTGGTTTGCTTCAAATTTTCACATTGATATGGTTTTGTGTGAACATTGATTACCACAAAATTTGATGGTTGATCAATAGTCATCATTCTGTTCCCATATTTTCCGTATGGAAATGAGTTCGAGAGCATGTACAGCAGGGCATTCGTCAGAGGGCACAGGAGCTGGAAGTCCAGTACGACATGGACCCACTGAGTGGAACCTCTGAAAGCGAAAGCTTGGAGGTCATCTCAGATCACTGGGTACCGGTGCATGTTGGGAAAGACATTCCAGTCCCACCAGGAGTGTCTAGCTTCAAGCAGTGGGCAGCTACACTGGTCACAGAGGACTGGAGAATTTTGGATCAAGGGAGATCCACCAAAGAGATCCGAAAGTATCTCCAGTGGCTGCACCGCACTTATGCATCGGAGACTAATCTCCAAACGGAGATTGTGGGAGGCCGTTTGGTCTTTGTCCACGCCATCACCTGTCAGGCAGTGGACTTGGCCCTCTTTATGGAGGCCTGCGACTATGAGGGTGAGTTGGAAGCAATCAATGCGGAGAAGTGTGGCTACTCACGCCAGTTTAAAGAGTAGATCAACACCTCATGGTCAAAGACCGCATAAAATTTTCTTGCGAAAAGTGCCGCAGACAGATGGCCAAATCGAACCAGCCGTTGTGCCGCTGGTGCAGCCGCCAGGGGTTGTGAAAAGAGATAGGCTCGGGAGTGCCCATGAGCTGTTCGGAAGTATGAAAGGCAGGTGGCATGATCGCTATTGGTGCCTTGAACTTTTCTATGAATGGCTTGGAAAGCCGTTCCATTTTGGGCAGGACAGTCGCACAATTTTTCACACTTTGGCTGATCAAACTATAAGGTGGTGCCTCAAACCTTGAGCTAAGTTCGTCCGTTTCACTGGGTTTACTTTGGAGGCACACATCCAACGAATTGTCCTTCTTTAAATCCTATTATAAATCATCATATTGACTCCTATGAAGTCATATTAAATAAGATTAAACCATATTAATTCATATTAAATCAAATTCAACCATATTAAATCAGAATAAATCATATTAAACCCCACTAAAGTCAATTGAATCCCATTGGAATCCCAGAAAAAAAATCGCACTTGTTCCCTGGTCTCTTGCTCCGGCCAGGTGGACATCGGACATCTCTATGTTTGGCTGGACATTTTGGCCATTCCCCAGCGCCACTTGATTTTGATTTCAATAGGAACATCTGGTTGAACATCTCTAATTCTTATAGATATATTTTGATGCACTATCTGAGTTTTTTTTGGAAGATATATCATGATATATATATATATATAGTATACATATATATATATAGTATACATATATATATATTTTTATAGAATACATATATATATATATAGTATACATATATATATATCAAGCCAAAAAAAGACGCCGAAGCGTTGGAATCCTGCTTAAAGGGACACATCATTGAACCACTATCCTCGAAAACGCATCCCGGTATCTTTCTGGGGGGTTACCATAAGGGAAAATCGACAAGATATCAACATTGTTTTTTGCCATAATCAACTATATAGAAAGAAAACAAGGAACGGATCGTCGTGTTTATCTGGATACACGTTCGAACGAACATGTTTGGACAAATAGCATTTATCCCTTCTCCCTAATACTAAACCGGTCCCCTTCCCTCTAATACTAAGCACCTAGTGGAGTTTTTAATATTAGGGGGATTGGGGGGGTGCTGTATTTAGTATTAGGCTGCGAAGCTTCTGCCTAATAATACAAAAATCAAAACCTTAATAAAGCTAAAATATTCGATGTCAAAATTGATTATATAAATTCCTTTTTAAAACCTAATTAAAATATATTAAAAGATTGCCAAAAATCAGATTTCGAAGCTTTCCCGCAATATTAAAGTAACAACGTTGAAAAAAACTAAACCACATATATATATATATATATATTTCAGTTTTGACTCAATTCCTTTTAAATTCTCATTAAAATATTGCCAACAATTGGATTTCGATGGTTCCCGTACTATTAAACTAAAATCATCGAAAACAAAAAACACTAAAATTGTCTATGTCAAAATCCATTAAACCAATTTTAAAATATCATTAAAGTATTGCCAAAATTGCATTTCGAACGTTCCCCTATATAGTATGAAATTAAACATCGTAATATATGTATATGTATATATAATATATATATAAATGTGTATTATTATTAAAACACATACACATAAAAACACTAAAGACATCTATGTCAAAATCGATTCAGACCCTTCACCATTTTTTAATCATCAACATATAGCCACAATAATGATTTCGACGGGAATCATTGCTTATGTTTATTTCATAGTAATAGTTACTTGAGGTACGTTTAGCAATAGGGAGAAGGGATGATTTGGTGAGTACAACACATAATAGAAACTATGTTCAACCCTAATATGTCTTTCTGCCGTGAAAAGATGAAAGGCTCTCCATTACCAGGGAACCCGCCTTAAAATTTTAAGGCGTCCAACTTGTTCATTCCCATCCCCTGATACCAAACATACCCCCAACTTTGACCCCGAAAGGAATAGATCCGATACCCCAGGTTTGGCTTGGGAGTCACTATTATTCAGGGAAAGTATGGTCTATTTGATCTGTGCTACATATATGAATCAAAACCTGGAAAATAAATGAACATTACATATTTGGATATATTTGGAGGGGATGAACAATGAACATCCATTTGCTTGATTTTACATACATAAATCCGAGCTATTTTGGTCTATTTTGGCTTGCAGGTCACGTCGGCATGAAGTCCTTAGCGCCTTGTTGTTTCGAACGGGGAAGGCTTCCTATTGGGTGCGTTTTCCGAGGGGAACATGCTATCCTCCAATCTGAATTGATGGAGTATCTTGGGGTTGAGTTGAATATACAGTTGCATTGGTATATGTGTACAAATAAATAAATAAACAGCAAACCACAAAAAAATGCCGAAACGTTGGAGGCTTGGACAGATGTGTTCGGCATCATTTTTGGGGATTACGAGAATGGCTTGGAGCATCATACCATAACCTCGGATTCATAAACCCTCGGCTGTTCATTTTTTGGGTGGTACCATTTAAGTAGCAAAACATCATTATCTGGAGGTCACCCGGCTAGTTCATCAACCAGGGTCTATCAATGCTGGTTCTGATGTTACACAACCATGATGATTTGATCGGGATTTCACGGGGATATACTGGGATGTTACCCTCCGGTATACTAACAGTTTGCTATTGAAAATGGCCCATAGAAATAGTTGATTTACCCATTAAACATGGTGATTTTCCATAGTTGTGTAAACGTTTACCAGAGGGTAATCAGTGGCGCAATAAGTACCCGGTGAGTTGAAAAAATCTTCGCAATGTTGATTCCCAATGGCCCAATGACTACTATTTTTCAGAGTCCTTAAAACCACCAGCCAGTTTTGGTCATGGATCACTGCATTATGGCGCGAAACCATCCCTAAATTGGATTGGGTTGGTAATTGTTATTTGTTTTTTTATTTTAGTTTGCTGTTGGTTGCAAAATAACGACACATCGCTAAATTGGCTCTTGGTTTACAGGGTGCCATTTCACGTTACCCATTGCAACATACAGTGATGGGCCGCTTGAAGTTGCCACCAGATATTATCAGGGATATAATGCTCCATTCAAATCTAATCAATAGCCTTTACAAACCCACTTCTATTTGAGGCCACTGTAGGGTAGGTAGTTTTGGTTTGCTCCATTGAGCTGCCAATGATCTGCTCGCCACATGTCAACTTCTTTTGGGATCACCGGGCCCTCTGGTTTCGGTTTCCTGATGATTTAGGGTACCCTTTTAATGGATGATTACAATAGAAAATCCCAGTCAAATGGATGATTTTGTGGGTATTTCCATATGGATTTCATCATAATACCAGTACGTAACACGGCCTGAATGCGAACGCTCCCATCCTCCCCATTCGACCATCAACGGGGATCCAACTGGTTACACAACGTTGCACCATGTCGTAATCAAAGATATGGAGAAATCCTGATAATTACTGGAAGACTCATTCATTCTGCAATCACTGAAATGTCAATGGTTTGATGTCCATGCTCTGTGCTTTCTACTTTAGTTCCCCGGATTTGTTCAGAATTTTCTTCCCACTGGCAGTGTGGCAGTGCCCCGCACTCAGGCAGTGAACTCTTTATACGCTTATGCCTCGTCCACGAGCGGTTTCATTGTGATCGCGCCCGAAGGCTTCCATGTGCCTGGGCTGGAAGATTACTTCAACTTAAAAAAAATGGAGGATTTACAGTAAGGGGAAATCAGATGGAAAAGTTGGGAAAATCCATCATAAATACTGGTTTCATCAGGAGTTTCATCATGGTAACATCATCGTTTTGGGTCACCTTTTGGAGGGCTTGGTCGGTTGGTCGGGCATTTGCCATAGGAAACAGAAGGTTTTTCATTAACTAATGTTGGGGAGATCATGTATGACGATAATGTGGATGGTAATGGTGATGGTGATGATGATGATGGTGATGATGATGATGATGATGATGATGACAATGACGGTGACGGTGACGGTGATGTATGACAATGTTGCAGAAATAATTTTGGTCACTATTTTGTGTAGGTCTTTTATTGATTCTTGTAGAACATTATCTCACTTCGATGTATATACATAATTGTGTATGTTACGTACTGTAGATGAAACGTATTAATTCGTTGGATCACAGTGTAGGTTCCTTTCCAATGTCTGATGGAATCTTCAAATTTGAGGATCATGAGTACGTGGTAGCATCTAATGTATACTAATCTGGTTGGTGGTTTGAAACATGCTTTATTTTTCGATATTGGGAATAATCATCCCAACTGACTTTTTTTTTCAGATGGGTTCAAACCACCAACCAGTAATGTTACACTGATAACTGATAAGGTATCATGGCTTATCTGTACTGATGGGTATCTTGGGTATCTGAAAACAGGGTAAAATTTCCATGCTATAGTCCAAAAAGTTATGGCCATGGCTATTAGTTATAACTGGTATGTCGGGCCTTAGTCCGTACAGGATGGGGCCCCCAGTCGATAGCGTTCAGTTGCCTTATTTCAGTGGCGAAAAACTATGGTTTAATGTGGTAGATATAACAATCTAGTATTCATGGAGTTAGCTAAGTTGCCTTATCAGTGGCTTAACTATGATTTATGGTAGATATAACTATAGTTAATGGAGGATATTTGCCTACGGCAGGAAAACCGTACGTGCGTTTTGCTTCTTTTTGAGTATTGCTCTTTGTCTTGGGGTTGGGGTGGGGTGGGGTGGGGGGGCATGTTAACGTTCCTCGTACTTCGTACAGGATATATTGCCGTGTTAGTGTGGGTTGGGGTTGGGGTGGGGTGGGGTGGGGGGGCATGTTAACGTTCCTCGTACTTCGTACAGGATATATTGCGATGTTGCTAAGATCTCTGGGATCCTTTACTACGTTACATGTTGCTACGCTGCTGGTATCTCTGAGATAGTTTCCTACGTTACATGTTGCTACGCTGAGATCCTGACTACGTTACAGGTCTACGCTGCTGAGATCTCTGTTTTCCTACGTTACATGTTGCTACGCTGCTGAGATCCTTGGGATCGTTTACTACGTGACATGTTGCTACGCTGCTGAGATCTCTGGATAGTTTACTACGTTACATGTTGCTACGCTGCTGAGATCCTTGGGATCGTTTACTACGTTACATGTTGCTACGCTGCTGAGATCCTTGGGATCGTTTACTACGTGACATGTTGCTACGCTGCTGAGATCTCTGGGATCGTTTACTACGTTACATGTTGCTACGCTGCTGAGATCCTTGGGATCGTTTACTACGTGACATGTTGCTACGCTGCTGAGATCTCTGGGATCGTTTACTACGTTACATGTTGCTACGCTGCTAAGATCCTTGCTGCTGCTGGGAAGATTGACTCTCTGTGGAATTTGGCTAAAAAAATGTGCCTAGCAATTTGCAGACAAAGGCAGGGCAGAACAAAGATGTCATGCTATACCTGCGTTGCTGGCAGTGGCGTTATGAGTGCCATAATGGCAACTTGCTGTCGAAGACAGCTTCCACACTGATGGATCGCTGAGCCGACGAAGAGTGTGAAAAAAAATCTGCGCATCCACGTCTGATGCACATGATGTTTACCTGGATTTGTTAAAAATCAATAGATTTTGCATCCACTTTTTTAACCCAAATTCAGTTATCCAAACTGATCGGAAGAGCATTTTATATTGTAAATTACAGGTGATTGTGACTCTCCTGGAAACAACCAATCAAAACGCTCGCGCGGTTTCCCTTCCGCCGGGTATTTCATGGTTTATAAGCCAATTAACATAACTATGGGGTCCCATCCTGCCATCAGTTGTTCGGGATCACCAAGGAGAACACGGGTGCGCCTTCAAACCTGGAGTCCTACAGGACGGCCACGGGAGGTGTCCCAAAATTGGCTACCCCGTATTCATCCGCTTTAAATCGGATCCACATTATTTTCAGCATCCATTTTTGGGGACCCAGATTTATGGAGACGAAAATAAACAAATATTATTCAAATGTAAACATATATATATACATATATATATATATACATAATATATATATAGAAATACATATATATATACATAATATATATATATATATAGAAATACACACACATATATATATATATACCTGGTGCACCGTTCAAACAAAGTGCTCCAAGGAGATGGGCCATTTCGCAAGGCCATGGCCATTTCTTGCGTTTTCCTGTTTCCCATGGGATCAACATAGAAAGAGATGTTGGTCGGAAGGTACCTATTGTTGGAAGCCTAGAATGATGGATCACAGTTTCCGTGATGGATCACAGTTTCCGTATTGGATGATTCTATGTGCAGTTTGTAGATAAGTTAGGGATCTTTATTGAAATTTCAATGGCCAATTTTTACAATGTGGGGCCCCTCAGTTATAAGTTGGTTTATAAACCCCATTAACTATAGTTATAAGTACAATCAACCATAGTTATTGGGGGCCCCACATTGTATAAATCGGGATTCCTTGATGATTTTTGGGATCCCAGAAGTAGCAACCATCGGAGTTTTGCGCAAGATAAAAAGTGTCACCAGCAGAATGGTGAAAGTAATCATCACCAAGTTCTGAAAACGTGTCGTTTTCGTTGTTTTCTTGCGATATCATTCGATTAATTATTGATATATAATAATCATTGATAACAATAAGATACAATAAGACTATGACATACTATGACTATAATAGTTCAATAAACTACTTACCCTCTGGTAAATTAACATAGACCCTGGCAGAAAACGGGGTTGGAAGACTAGTTTCCATTAAAAATTGGTGATTTTCAGGGTCAACAAGTTAATTTACTAGAGGGTAAATGGAAATCATCATGGTGCTTCCTTGTCATCCAAAAACCTTCACTCGCAAGTTCTCGCAGGAGCCGCGTTTGGACGCGGGTGGAGCAGGTTGCCATGTTCGCAGCGAATGGTTTGGGGAAGATGTACATCGCCGAAGGCCGCGGGATAGGGGTGGAGCCAGTTGTTTGGTTTTTTTTGTTGGTGGTGTTCCTGAGTTGTCTTGGTAACTTCATAGACTCCATTATATATATACACATATGTGTTGTTTAGAGATAGATAGATAGATAGATAGATAGATAGATAGATAGATAGATAGATAGATAGATAGATAGATAGATAGATAGAGATATATATATATATATATATGCACCATAAATCCGAGTTATTGGAATTATAAACCAACTATTTGAACCAACGTTGGCTAAAAATGGGGGGCCCATTATGTCACGGGATTTCCGTGCATCATGTTCCCTATGGCCATAGGGGGAGCCGCGCCAAGGAGCGATTCTAGGAGTTTCCCTTAAGCAAAGAATAGGAGTTTCACCCTCATCTAATATGTGGGGAAGCATCCCCATGTATTTTGATTCATGGGAAATATGACATATGTATGGGAAAAGGAACACGGAACATATGGGTTTTTCAATGGGAAGATTATCGGAAAACATTTGGCGGAGGACAAACATCACCACTCTTTGCGGGGAGGGGATGGGAAAATAGACAGCACTTATTGTGTACATGGATTTCCACTGCCCATGACGCTTGGGTCAGGGTAACGACTCGCAGAGTTCACCAACAAATAGAAACGAACATCAGAAGAGAAGCATCTCTAAGACATGTATAAAAAATTGCCGTTTAATTGTACAATGATATTCCCTAGTTTTGGCAGCCAAGTGCAGCCACAATCCCAGTAGCTCAACTCTGTTTTCTTGCAGAGGTGACACACATATTATATATTCATTGTCCATCAACGGCTAACATCGGCGTCTGTCCGGGATGGTGCAGTGCTGGCGCAGGCGTTGGTTCGACATTTTGGGTCAACGACAACTAAACCATACCCAGGGAGTTCCATCATTTCGCGCCGGTGAATTCCAGTGGTTTAATGTTCATGTCAGTGTCATGTCTTTTTATATTTTCCATTGGAAACATTTATACAAAAATCCTGGTGATTTGTTGCACAAAATGGTGGTTTCATGGGATGGATACCACTATAAATGGTGATTTGATGGTTATTTACCCTCTGGTAAACATACAAAAAGCTATTGAAAATGGCCCATAGAAATAGTTGATTTACCCATTAATAGCATGGTGGTTTCCCAGTTAGCTATGTTAAATTACCAGAGGGTATTCATCATCCCATGCCATTTATGTGTTCCATTGATATTCACCCCTGGGGGGAATTTATGGTATGATTTTTTGTTTTTCCGTGTTTAATTAGTGTTTATTTTCCCATGTATATTCCCATGCCTATATTTTCCATATTTTCCATGTATCCCATGTCTTTGTTGCAAAAATATCCCCCATCAATTCCCGAGGCGATGGTCTTCGCAAGTTTGACATGGACTTCCTCAAGCCAAGCCTGGCTCCGCGGCAACAAATGGGTGAATTTGCCAGCAGTTTTGTGGCCAACATATAGTTTACCACCACATATTGCCATTGTGAAATTGATTTACCATTCATATATATATATATATGTTTATACTTATATATTTAGATATTTACATTATGACAATCAAATGATGTTTACCATCAAATTGGGAAAAACAACATGAGAACGAATCTCGACAGCCTTTTGGTGTTCGAATGTCAACAGGGAGAACATGAAATTTTGAATCCCTCCCAGTGGTTGCAACCTGGTCCACCCACATGGGCTGAATACCCCATTTGGTTCGTCGGAATACCCCCCGAATGGCCTTGACTATTAATGGTGAAAATATGTGAAAATGATGATCAACCATTAAACATCAATTTCTGGGATACCCTGTTTTCAGACAAACCCATATGAATTACTGGGTAGACCTTGGCTGGGTAGTTCAATATGTTTGTGTTTTTGCTATCTGGATATCATATTCGGGCAGAAAAAAAACATGCAAGGTATCCATGTGTATCCTAGATCAGAGAGTGTCCCAGAAGTGAGGAATGCCCAAAGCGTTGGTTTCTCAGTTTCCTAAGATCCACTGAAATACAATTCATGTGGTCCCAGAGGCCTGCACAGCACGTTTTCGCTCTGGCAATATAGCCTTGCAAAGGAAGATCCTCTTTTTAAAGATCATTGCCCAATCAATTACAGTTATGGCCCGAAATACCAGTTATATATATATATATATAAATCAGTGAAATCACCCAATTTATGGAATGATAACCCCATAAGAGTAACCCTAAAAATCACTGGTTCCTATATAGGGCCATAACTGTAATTAGAAACCACCAATCACTGAACCGGATCAGCACGCAGAGCACTGGAGGAAATCTTTCAAGCGAATATGACTTGCTGCCGCCGGAAGCACGAACATCAGGAGACACGATCTTTGTTTGTGGGATTTTGGACAGGTCAAAATTCCCAAGGTTCAGGTTCAGGTCATTGGGATGTACTGTACCTATATATTGCATGTTTATCCCCATAGTTGGACTATATGTGACTATGTGAATATATATATATATATATAACGGTTTAAAACCTCAAGTTTGAGTGTCATTTGTTCGTATCGGCAAATTTCATTAATTCTTGGAACCGCCAATTTGGATCATATGTTTTTGTTTTGTAATAACACTGAAAGATAGAAAGCTTAAACTTCCCTGTGTTCTTTTAGTCGGATGCAATATGTTCACCCCACCGCCATTGTGAGTTGGCCGAAAACATTAGGCAACTTCCGGAGAACTGGGTAAATCGGGTATATCAATAAGGGCATACAATGTGGTACCCCCCAGTTATAAGTTTATAACCTCCATCAACTATAGATATATCTACCATAAGTCCTACTTATTGTAGTTAGAAACAAACTTAGCTATCTATGGGGCACCGCTATGTATGAAAGACCCATCAAGATCCATGTTGCCGCATTGATATCTGATACATAAGGGTTTAACGTTTGCACCCGTATCTGAAGTCTGTGTCCAGTAAGTGGGTAACCGGGTAATATGTCCCTTCAAGTCTCTTCATATTATCATTCCCGAAATCCAGGTTAGTACCTCAGATCTCATGTATTGGAGGTTCAATCATTTTTTTTGTCGGTAGGGAAAGGGATTAACACATAAACACATTTAAAACAACATATTAAACCGATAATATTTGACATACCCCATGACTATCCCGCAAAGTTGATATATAATCAGCTTATATCAGCTTTTATAACTATAGAATCTATGGTAGTTATAACGCAGACGGGAGTCCCACCTCGATCTATTGCGTTTTTCCATTATCTTTAGATAGACATGGTGCTAATGATGTCTTTGTTTGTTTTTCAATATTTTCATTAACGATTATACAATATCCATTATACAAAAAGATTGATTATAGATATCTAATTGATATTTTGAACATTGTATAATCAAATATAATCAATATTACCATTGTTATGTTGATATCTAAACATTATCTTTTCTCATGTCGGCTCCATGGTCAATGTCGATCTCCAGGACTACTGCGATAAGGAGACGGCGCCCCGGCCTGGAGAGATGATGGTTTATGGTAGATATTTCACAAATTCGTATTCTCCACAGTTGCCTTATAAGTGGCGAAAAAACTATGGTTTATGGATGTTTATGGTAAATATATGATATAACTATAGTTAATGGGGGTTACAATGGTTTATAAACCAACTTATCACGAAAGCTAGCGTCAGCTAGCTGGAGTCTTCTTGCTTTAGCAAGTATTCCGGGGGCTGCTCAAGGACATCACGTGATTTTTCACCCCCCCCCCTCCCCCCCCCACCACCACCACCACCACCACCACCATCATCATCATCATCATCATCGTCATCGTCCTCGCCATCGTCCTCGTCATCTTCATCATCATCATCATCACCATCATAATCATCATCATCGTCCTCGTCATCGTCATCGTCATCATCGTCATCGTCCTCGTCATTGTCATCGTCCTCGTCATCATCATCATAATCATCGTCGTCCTCGTCATCGTCATCGTCATCATCGTCATCGTCATCGTCCTCGCCATCGTCCTCGTCATCGTCATCATCATCATCATCATCATCATCATCATCGTCCTCGTCATCGTCATCGTCATCGTCATCGTCATCATCGTCATCATCATCATCGTCATCATCATTGTCATCGTCATCGTCATCATCATCATCATCATCATCATCATCATCGTTATTCAATTACATTTTATCATTATTGGCAATTATTGGCATTATCACGAAAGCTAGCGTCAGCTCGCTAGAGTCTTCTTGCTTTAGCAAGTATTCCGGGGCTCCCCAAGGACATCACGTGATTTTTCACGCGAAAGGGCCCCCCCTGCCCCCTCCCCCATGAATATATATCATTGTTATATATCATATATCATATATCATTGTTGCATCCTCGTTGGGACGAACAATGCCGCATCCACCCCCGGCCTCAAGTAACTGGGGGGTGTAGCTCTATGGAGGTTTTCCATAAATGGGGGTACCCCAAAATGGATGGTGAGGGGTACCCCCTATTTCAGGAAAACTCCATATGGTTCAATATCCAGAGGGTATTTATGTATGTTTTAAGTGTTTGAAACTGTATTTGTTTGGAAATAGACTGATGAATAAGAACTACAGTAAATGAACTCAAGATTTCAATTTTTGTTTTTTGATGGTTGATCATGGACCCAGATCATGCCAGGCATGTTTCGAAAAGTCTTGGCTCAGCGATCCATGCTGTCTTTACATGTTACAAGGTGGGCCAAGTAGTAAACTCTTCATTCAACGGAATAGTGGCTCTAGTGCAGCTGTTGTACAGAAATGATTATTTCCCAAAATAGGAGTATCGGGAGTACCCCAAAACCAGCAATTGTCATGGACAAATGTTTAATTTGTTAATGATTGTGGGGTTTCCCAGTTTAACAAAATCTACAAACGTCACATCTACAAACGTCACTGTCTGAACAAACCCCCGGAGCATCAGATGCCCAAATGCTCCAGGGTTTGGCAATCAAACATAGCAATGGGAAATCATCCATAAAAATCCATAAACATGATATTCTAATGGGAAAATCATTCATAAATGGTGGATCAGGAGAAATTGATGGAGATTATAACTACATTGAATTACAGCAATGGAGAATGATGATTCATAAACCCTGTAAATCATGGGAAATTGACAGAGACTATTGTGAATTATTTGATCAAATACGTTGTCTCTTCATTCAGTCCTTTTCTTGGCCACTATCCCTTAACCTTTCTGAGGCCCTGCTTCAAACTCTGAATTCCCAACAATTCCAAACATTTGGACAGTTTTGGACGACATTGCTGCAACAGGCCCAAAATAATGATGGTTCGGCAGGGGCAAAGGCTCAACAAGTCTGGACAACACTGGTGTGGCAATTATTTTAGATTCTTATATTATGTATATATATATATATTCTCATTAATTCTCCAGCATTTCTCCAGCTATATACATAAGGTAATCCAGCAGTTAAATCGGGTATTCGTATATAATAGCAATATCTAAAGTAAGATAAGCCCATTTTGCCAGTGACCCACAATAATGAATTGATATGTATCTAGGTTCGGTATCTCATCCCAGTGTTGCGTCAAATCCCCATGTTTGGAGCAGGCCACGGGCCATGCTGAACCACTAGAAGATAGAAACGTGTTTCCAGGATGGTATAGATGATGTTTCCTCCATTTGTTTCCAGGTTTCCAACGTTTCGACCTTTGGAGGTTACCACTTAGTTTTGAAAGAAATCCAGCCCAGATGCTCAGCAGAAAAAAAACTCCAAAAGCCAAGCAACGTTGTTTGCCATTTGTGTGTTGCAAATGGTCGATCTTCTCAGATGTGCATCACAGATAACGTGTTTATATATTTATACCCCATGTAGAAGCCATTTTAAACTTTTTTGAACTGGTGATATTCCGTATATATATATATCTATATTATAACTATAGCAACCCATTGGTGCCTATAGTAAATCCAAAAAGAATTTAAAACCATAGAAACCCTTCTAAAACATAGAAATCTAAAACCATAGTAGAACCATAGTATAACCATAGAAATAGAAATCCTTAAGCTTCGCCTTTTCTATCGTTTCTAAAACCCAGATCCAGGTGGTGCTCCCCATGCTGGGTCTCTGGTTCCGTCTGCTGGCGCAGCAGCGCAATGTGGGTGTCACCGAAAGCGGCAAGGAGAGCCTGGAGTTTTTATGTTTTTTCCGCGCCATAAAAACTGGTTGGTGGTTTGGAACACGAATTTTATTTTCCCATATATTGGGAATAATGATCCCAACTGACTTTCCCATTTTTCAGAGGGTTGAAACCACCAACCAGAAAAGATGGTAGATGGATGTAGATGGTAGATGTTTACCCCAAAAAAAAAACATGTTCTTTGTATTTGTTTATTTTGTATTTTTGTCCACGGCATTATCTTTTAATGATCATGTGTTGTTTGTATGTTTGTGTGTTTTTTTCATGGTCATGAACAGTCATGACAGATGGTAAACATGTCACGATCTCCATCACGGAATACTGATGATGGGGATAGGATTTTTTGGAGATGAAGTCCTGTGCCAGTTGAGGCATGTGTGTTTTATAATGTTTTATATATCCCATGATTTTGTTGGGGCTTCAACCATCCGTTTGGTGGTGCAGGATTGCGCAACCATATGCAGTGGTATGAACTGGGACTCCCCATGACGCAACCACTATATAACCAGTGGCGATTTGCCGCTTCAGAAGCCGTATTTTGGTTGATTACCAAACATACGAGCGGAAGCTGAAGCTGTTTAGATGTAATCATAGAGTTCACTGGATTTTCCACTTCTATTAACCCTCTGGTAATTTAACATAGCTATAGACAATCACCATTTTGAATAGGTAAACCATCTATTTCTATGGGCCATCTATACCATAGCTATGTTAGTCATAACCAGAGGGTACCAGAGGATGCCGTGATCCCCGAAGAAAATGATCAGTGACTTCGAATCTGCTGCAGTTCCTAACGAAGATTTGCAGATTTGCGAACGACTACTCTTGTTAGTTCAAACCCTTGAATGGAAGGAGTATGCACGATTATTCACGGGTATTCCGAAAACTCATCGGTATAGTTTTTGATTACAGTGCCAAGAAAGTGATGTTGCAGACCAGTTTGGAACTTAAAAAACAAATGCTCCCATATCACTAAGATATCCCAGGGGTCCACTCATTCCTCCCTTCCGAATTTCATCGAATTTCTTGGTGCTGCCAGCATGGAAGTCAGGGTTGATGCTTGGTAAGTGGCTCACGATTCCTCTAAAAAAACTGGCTACAGGGATCTTTCACCCAATGACTATAGATTGACTATATAACAATCCACATATTCCAAGCATCAGTTCTCCAAAAGCACAAAAACTTCGCTCCAGCAACGGCCCCCCCCGAAAAGTGGGATCACTACTCCTATTCCCAAACTACTTCCATGTTCGAACCACCCTATTCTGTATGGGAAGATTATGGAATGAAGATCTTGATTTTCCTAGTTAAATCAAATCCTATTCGTGATGGTTCTTCATACACTGTAACAGGATATATGGAGTTTTCATAAATGGGGGTACCCCCAAATCATCCATTTTAAGTAGCATTTTCCATTATAATAAACCATCCATTTTGGATACCTCCATTTATGGAACCCCCCTTGTAGGAGCTATTTGAGATCTACTCTGCGGAGATCCAGAAGTATTTGCCTGCACGCTTTGACTATACGCAGGCGCCAACGCCTGTAGGTTTCATTGGGTAATAAAATGATACAGTAGGGGTTGTGAATGACATCCAATTATATCACCCTACCTGGTTGTAAATAGGGATTCGTAGAGAATAGGGGCTATTAATTCAACTAGCAGAGAGAAGGAACGCTTCACCGTTCGGAAGAGTCCGTTTGGAACGGGATAATCCATATGGCTACCAAGAATCTGAGCAGATTGATAGATTAGTCAATAACATGTATTTTATTTTAGAAATGATGGTTTATGATGGTTTATCTATATATATATATATTAATGGTGTATATATATATATACACATGTATATATGATATATATGGTTTAGCAACCTAGCAGCCTGTATTTTATTATATTAATATCTGGCATGTTGATGGTTTTAGCAACACGATCAGCAATTGATTCGTTAGTTCTATATATATTCTATTTCATACGTGTTCAACCATAATCACCAGTTTCACATGTACCTTGTTGAAGCAAAGATAACACGGTAGTATGATGGGCCTTTAGTTTTATTCCATAGCTGATGTTGGCAATGAGGACTGGAGCATCGCAATCCCATTTGGGGATGGCTTCGGATGCAGTTGGGCAGTTGATTTTACACTTGGATGCATACCCATATCATGTACACTCTGGTAAACTAACCTAACTATGGAAAATCACCGTTGTCAAGTTGTCAATGGGAAAATCCACTATAAATGGTCATGTTCAATAGCTATGTCAAATTACCAGAGGGTATATATATATATATACACGTATATACACACATCTTTGTTGTAACCAATATTGTGATATATCAACATACCATCATACACCAATTTTATCCAACTATCTGCATAAATTATAACGACCTCACTGTTCTCCCGAACCCTGGAACCATGGTTTATAAGAGGAATCATCCCCAAATGGCCGAACAATTCAGGTTAGTGAAATATTATAATTTACCCACACACACACATCTTTGTTGTAACTTATATTGTGATATATCTGAACTATACCTATATATTACACATGCATGAACTGCATTTCACCATCACCACCACCACCACCAACAACAACATCGTAATCACCATCATCATCATCAACAACATCCTCAAGTCCTCAACCATAAAAATAATCATCAACCCTCATCAAGCATTAATAACTAGTACTAACCGTAACCTTACCAACCACATCATCATAGCTGCCTTTGGCCGCTAGGTGGCTGGACCCACCGTGAGCAGGCCCTTGTTCGGCAACCTCATCAAACAAGTGGGTCGAACCTTGGCGGAGACCGCTACATGATCCTTGGATTCGTGCATCCCACCTAGAATTAGCAAGTGGTTTTTAGGTATGCGGTGAAGTTCCATCATATAACTGTATATTAATATAATATATTACAATAAAACTATATATAATATATATATAATATATAATATATATATATATAATATATATAATATATATAAACAAATAACTAAGGTTTAAGACGATGAAGATCGACTTACTGTACGATGTCCGGGATGCACCTCCTCAAGCAGGGCATTTTCGGTCAAAAATATACATTCCCATAGGATCCATGGTGCTGCTATATATGGCAACATGGATCCCATCAATATATCCCCTTTATGTTAGCATATATACCATACATGGATCCTATGGGATTGTTCTGATATTTGTGATGTAAAAACCAGGGTACCCATGGGTACCCTTTTTTTCGAACAGATTGAAAGGTCGAAAGGTTAGGTTCGGCACACGTTCGAAAAAAGAGGGGAAACATCGAGCCGCAGGACCAAAGGTTCAACCGAAAAGAGGATGAAGAAGTTGGCTGAGTTCGGCATGTACCCGGCCTGGTAAACGTTTACAAAAAACTATGGAAAGATCCACCATTTTTAATGGGAAAAACCACTATTTTTATGGTCATTTTAAATAGCTATGTTAGTCATTACCAGAGGGTATGGGAAGATCAATGCCACACTATTGGCCACCCTCACCCTCACAGGTGATCACAGGTGAGCAGGCTGACGCGCTTCGGAAAAAGTTGGGACCAAGGGGCATCACGAGCCTTGAGTCTTCTGTCTTGAAGGACATGGTATCCCTTCACCTAGCGGAAGCCTTGATACTTGCCCCTGCCATCTGGGGACGCAAATGCGAATATTTGACACCAGAGTTCGCTAGATCTGATCAATGAACAAAAACTAGAATTGGATAATATTGGTTGATGGTTGGGTGGCCTCTAATTTTAGGCAGACCCTACAATGGCGAAAAATTGCCCAGTTGAAATTGGGGGTATGGTCATGGCATAGGGCCACAAAAATGTCTGTAATCCATGTGTTTTTAATCCTATCAATGTACAATTAATGTACACATGTATATATATATATGTAGTATGTATAATGTGTACTGTATTATGTTCAATGTTTATACATATATATATATCAACTTGACCATGGCACTCATGACTTGTCTATATTCTTTTTGGATTCCTTTCCTGAGATGATTGGCGCCTTGGGAATAGCTTCTGAAGTTTGGGTCTTTGGGTCTGATCGGGACGCCAAGCACCTTCTCATTCTCAGATATTCTCAGGAAGTATGTGGATCCAAGCTCGGGAATGGTCCGGGGGTCAGAAGAGATAACTAACAGAATCTATTTGCTTATATACATTTACTTAGCAGTATGGCTAATGTGGTAAACCTGCCAACAATCCCCAAATTCACCCCGTTGGGTTCCTCTGAACCATCCCCCAAAAAATGGTAGGCTTCAGGGCATTGAGTTGCCCGAAACTGGTGCAACCCAGGAATTGTGGACAATCTCAGCAACGAGGAGTTGGCGGTGACTCGTCGCAGTTTTGACCCCTTTGGACCGAGCCCAAAATTTTATGACCATCCAGTAATCAAACGTGGCTGGCTGTGCAATCCCTAAAAAACGGAGGTTTCAATTATCTACAAATGGGGGATTGACCATTGTTTGATTGACGGAGGGTGGGTATTATTAGGGTTGATTAGCAGGTTGAAGCATTACAAAAATTGCCAAAGACATATTGGTTTGACATGGTTTGACGAATGATTGTTCTGAACGGCCAGATCAACAGACGTCTCTGACATGTGTTGACGGGCAAATCCGGACGTGTTCGATTCCAAAGCCAAAATGCTTCATGTGTTGTTGCAACGCATCTAGGATTGTCTATACTATATTGTGTTGTGTTTAATACTATTTGCAACTATCATGTTTTTTTGTTTGTTGTTCATGTTCAAAGAGGATTATAATATCACCACCCCTGTAAGGCTACTTTTCAGGGAGGGACCATACCAAAATGTAAGATACATGTTTTGAGACCCCCCCTTAAATGTAAAATTGGTCGCTGAACGTCCCCAGGAGTGGTTTTAGTAGGGAGGGTCTTCAAAACACCTTCAAAATGTAAGCTTACCATTTTTTTTTTTGGGCCCCCCTCAAAAACACCTTTTTTCAAACGTAGCTTACATTTTGGGTACTTTTTCCCCACCTTAAATGGTGGTGATATTATCATCATTATTGCCACGTGCACGTGCGCCAATGATACCGCTCAGGACATCCTGTCCATTGACTTGCTACTCGGTCGCAGGAGATGCCACGTAGCATTATTGTTTTATACGGTCTTATTTTCTACACAATATATATATACGTATGATTTATATATATATATATACGTATGATTTATATATATATATTATTTGTATTTGCACTGTGTGTGTGTCAAGTGTATGCATGTGATTCAGTGTCTGCAATATATATATACAATATATATTGTGTATGTGCAAACTATACCTGCATACGGGTTCTGTATCTATATGATACTATTACATTTATATACACATATGTTTTCACATGACATAAATATGAAGAAATGTATTTTTTTTATATATCGACGTATGCTGGTTTGGTTGACAAGTCGTCCTGAAACAACTGCCTTTACCGTTTCTTTTGTGGTTGGAACTCCGTGCTCCATGCCCTATTTCTGTTGGTGAAATAACCAGTTTTCTATTGAGCGTTTCCTCATCCCGGTGAAATACCCATTGCTGTTGGTGAAGTCCCCTTTAGTGTTGGTGAACTAGCAATTTCAACTAGTCAAATCCCGATGTTGTTCGTAAAGTGTTCACGATTATTGCTTTGGTCCCCATTTTTCGTCATGAACTACCCAAGACTACTGGCCATAGTTTCCATTTCCCATGTCATGACTTCATCTCAAGGCCAGCAGAAGGGCCGCCACCCAGTTACTCGTTCTGGGGGCCGTGGCCGTGTGACCAGTGGATTCTGCATTGGGGTATGAGGTATGGTTCAGTCTTTTTAGGCCGTTGCCCTTCATTTAAGAAGTCATATAGTAATAAGTAATAACTCGAAACATAACTCACTTGTATACTGTCAACATCGCCGTTAAACGGGGTATATATTGGTTGTAAACCATCCAAGAAAGGAGTGCAGATAATGTTCGAGCACTCATTTGGCCAGACCCAATTGGGTACGGGCCAATACACGGGCCCCAAACTTCGACTTAGATACTCACAGTTTTTGGGCCCAGAGTGTTTAGCAACCATATAGTCCCCCCACACGGAGTATGAGGAGCCTTAGAAGTGACTTACATCCACTTTCCGTTACTGGCTAAGTTCTCGGAAAACAATCCCAGCATTTACCGTCCCCCAACTAACGAAAAAAGACCCTGAGAATCACTTATTTTCAGAAGGAATCCAATCTCCAACCCCCGATTTGTCAGAGTCGATGCTAATTTTGCAAAGTGCTTCATTTTCCACCCAGAACCATGACATTCCACTGCGTGGCACTGCAGTGCTGAAGGATTTTGACCGAGTTATGTGGGTTATTGGGCACTGCTGACTGGGTAAGCGTCAAGATTTTAAGACCACCCAACCGCTTGGTGTGGAGCCATTCCACTTTTTGCATGCACTTCCAACTTTTTGGTAGGTAAGTGAGGCCGCGAGGCCCCCAAGTTATGAGTTTGGTTTATACATCCCAATGAATTCTAATTCGTTGTGTATCCCCAACCCAAACGTTAACCAAGTTTCTTGCGGGTGCCTCACTTTGTCCATGTGAAATGCCAATGCTTAAGGCCCTGCTATCGGGGCAATGATTCTCACAAAGGGGGGCATGCCTGTTATGTTTCTTGGTGTATGTTGACTCATCCAACTCTACCATAACTTATATTATCAATATCAATATCAATATTGGTGTATATCACATACATACACCATAACTTAATTTACATAATTTATCAATATCAATATTTCCATAACTTGATCGGTTTGGAGGGAAATTCAGTAAAAGAATGTATGGCTATGGCTTCCAAACTAAGGTGAGGTGCCAAGTTCCATCAGTTGATTTAGATTCACCCCATGAGTTACTCCCGAAATCTCCCGAATCTCAGGCAATGTGGTCGTCGCGCGGGTCTCCTTTGCACCTGGAGATACCTGGCAGAGTGAGACACAAAAAACGGGGGCCCCAAGGTCAGTGTTTGGAGAGTTCTTGATGGTAATATTGTATGATGGTACATGATGATAACTATGTCAATCTTGGATGGGTAGTTTGATTTCCTTTAGTCTTTTGGTATCAATGGAATTATCTACTAACCAGATAAGAATTTAGTTTTTTTGCATGGTATCTAAGATTGGCCATGGTAATTTGTATTTGCACAAGGTCAATGTTGAATATACATATTAGCATCAAAGAAGGTCTCTGTTAAGTGATTGTTTGATGGTAATATGTACATATGTTAACAGTGCAAATCTATGTTTGGGAAGATCTTAAATATTTAGGGAATACTGGAATACTTAGAACGAATGAAATACCCTCTGGGGTTATATCAAACATGGCAATTGGAAAATGCCCGAACTAAATGGAGGTTTGTAGCTGGGAAAATCATCGAACCAAATGAAGATTTTCCCAAACCAAATGGGGATTATATGTTTGAGAATATCTTAAATCGTTAAGAAAACATAAATACATGAACAGAAAGTTACAAATTTAACATTGAGTTCGAGTACAATCTGTTAATGAATTCGATAACCCAAGTATATTTACAACAACGGGGAATGTGGTTTGGGTTGAATGAAGGACATAACTATATACATATACGTATATATATATATTATAAGTAAGCAACCAAAAATCTGGGGTATGTTGGTCTTTATCTTGGAAAATGATCAACACAAAATCAATATTTACATATATTTACAGGGATAATTATTGTCCACAAAGACTGTAGGATCATGGGTATACAACTTATATAACCAATAGATATGGCAATGACAGAAACCTGCTGGAACATCCTAAGGTGTCCACCAGGGGACGGATGATGGGGCCCCCGTTTAGGAAATCGCTACGTTGGTGAACATAACTCCAAGAACTATGGTTTATGATACGTGTAACGAACTAGTTAATGGGATTTATAAACCAACTTACAACTGGGTGGCCTTACATTGAATGATATATGGTTTTCCGTGCGCAAATTGTACACGCAACAAAATAGGGGGGGCACTAGAGACACGTGTTGGTAAAGAATCGGCTTAGCGTTTGAAACGCAGAGATTATACATAGGGATGCATCGGGTTTCTCTCCAAGTTGAACTGAACAGATTCCGCTGAAAACTTGAGACGAAGGGGAAGGACTTCAGCAAAAACCGAGGCCGCAATCTGGTAGGTTTCATCATATTTTACCCATAGCTATGTTTCCAGGTGGATAAATCAAGCCAACAGTTGCTTCAATGCAGCTTTTCAGTGATTACATCCCCTGTCCAATTCCTAAGTCCCCGTCCCCTCCAGTGTTTCTAGCGGAGTACATAATACATACCCTATACCCTGGGCCTGAATGGGTATAAAGGACGCCTATTGCTGGGCTGCAAAGCGGATAAGTGAACCTCTAGTAAAGTAACATAGCACCACCTTATTCTATGGGCAAATCATCTACGAATGGGCCATCTATACCATAGCCATATTAGTTTACCTCCAACCTGAAATTATGGGCTCCAAGTGATCCAGACCTGACATTCACTAAGCATTTTTGTGCAGTGTATTCTGATACTCTATCTGACATTTTGTCTGGCAGATTTCATTATATGATTCTATCTGATATAATGCTGACTTATTTTCTGGCATTCTATTTGACTTCTTGTTTGGCCCTATATCTAGCTTTTCTTTTGACTGACATTCTATCCGACATATATTCTGACATTCTATTACTATCTTTCTATCTGTGGTTTATTCTGACATTTTGTCTGACATATATTCTGACATTCTATCGGGCATGTTCTCTGTGTGTGTGTGTCCGGCGAGGCCAGAGGCGAGCTAGCGATGTTGTGTTGGTGAGCTGGCGGAATAGCTGACATCGAATCTAGAGACACCTGATAGATGGTGAACAACGATGCTTGAGGGTAGCAAGATGCCTGCTGTCCACAAAAGATCAAGCGAAAGCCAAGGACGCGGACAACATATCGACCGCCTCCTCCTCCGATGCTGCTGCTGCAAGGGTTGGAGAAATAGGGTAAAGGGTAGGTGGCTTCTTTGTTTTTGTTTTTTCCCATGTTACTCTTAATGGAGCAGTGTTTTTACCATGTGCTACATGCACAGAAAACATATGACATCCATTTGATTTAGTTCTTTAACGTGATATCCAGTGGTTTAACGAGACAAGCAAAATTCAGAGGACTGGGGTCCCCGGGTATCTGAAATTCGAAGGCCTGAAGGCTGGTAGTTTGGCATGGCCATGGGGTACCAAATTCAATGGGGATGATCGTGGGCCGTGGCTCCGTCGGCCCGAGTCGGCCCGAATCCAAATGCAAAGATGTGATGGGATAGTCATCTCACCCTACATGGGAATCATGGGGAACCCATGGGAACTCCACCTTTGTGCCTGGTGATTTCACCCCACAATTTGTACATCTGTTTTTTTTGGGCCCAGTGAAATAGATGGATTGTAGGGTGATCGCCCACTTATTATAGTGGTCACCTACTTCAATTCCTGTTAAGGACATGGAAAAACTCTTGTCATGTGTTTTTGTGTAGGGCATATCTACATAAATGTCAATCATTTCTGGAATGTATAAACATTTAATACATCAAGTATTGGAATATGGTAGCCACTTAGCGGGATGTGGAGCAACGATCGCTGTAGCCCCCATCACAAAGCATACCCAAGCATGAGACTAGACTCTAATGACTAGACGGAGTCGGTAACAATAGCTGTAGTACCATGTGGGCCCTCCAAAAAATCGCTAAGTTGGGGGCCACATAACTCCAATAATTCACTATGGCTTATGATACTTATTAATACAACTATGGTTAATTAATGGGGTGAATCTAAACCATCAAACATCACTGGGGGGGCCCCACATTGTAACCTGATGGTTACTGAAACATTGTCCTTCGATGGTAGGGATGGTAGGATTTTTAGGGCTGCTACAGTATCCCCAAATCAATGGGTTTATCATTCGAATTCATCATGAATTTTTACAACCATGAATAAGGGTTGTACACAGGATTTTCGGACACAAACATGAATAATATGTGGTGTTGAAAGTTGAAATCAAATTCTATATATATACAAAACCCGGTAGCATCACCTGTAGCATATCTCCATTCTCCCATGATTTGTTGGTGAGAAATCCCTCTTCATATCTAAATTGCGATCACCCCATATTGTTGGATACACGCGATTCTACCACATTGTTTGTTTGTTTAAAGTTTAAACCCTATGAATTTAGAGACAACTTAGCTTGGAGAAGTCTTAAAGCAACCATTCATTGTTCATTTGTTCCCAATGAGTAATAGATCCCAATATACCTTGCTAAATCAAATGTTAGTAACCATCAAACAAGAGGCATGTCTCCATGATGGTTTTGATGTTATTGGCATCAAACTTCTAGATTTTCATGGTTTCCATCTATGATTTCTGGTTGCTTTAAACCCATGAAATTTCCCATGGTGAAGCTCCCCTGAGTTACAACATTGTTTGGAACCACCATCAACGTTACAAATACCATATTCGCCATAGAATTCACCATAGTTTCACCATCTGCTTGGTGGTTTGGAACCATGGAATTTTATGACTGTCCATTCAGTTGGGAATGTCATCATCCCAACCTGGTTGGTGCTTTCAAACATTTTTTTCCATAATATGGGATAATCCTTCCCATTGACTTTAATATTTTTCAAGATGGTTAAAACCACCAACCAGCAACTGGTCCGAACTCCATCATTTTTCAGAGGGGTAGGTTGAAACCACCAACCAGCCATGGTAGATCCCAACTAAGCATCCATAGATGCCATTGAATTCACCATTCGACCAAGGACACAGCGAGTTTCTGACACGCGCTGTTGGCATCGGGTGATTCCTGACCGGCCTTCGGGCGTTTCATGTTTTCAGGTTTCAAACACAAGAATCATGTTGAACGATGTTGAACATATGGTTTGGAAATATTTGGAATCACTAAACTTCGATATTTCACCTGTGAGTTGACAAACCGAATTTATGCTAACTTGGTTGACATTTCTTGAATAACAGGTTGGTTTTTGGTGAATGTATCTAGAGTTGGATGAGTGATGATCCACCATGAACTGCGGAGGTTAAAAACTGACTCAGTGAGTTTATTTGTGATGCAGCTGGTTAAAGATATGCCTCACTATATATATAGTGGATTTACCCATTGAAAATGGTGGATCTTTCCATAGTTATGTTAGTTTACCAGAGGGTAAATGGGGTATGATATTCCAATTTATTCCAATCAAGTACAATATGCCTGAAAATATGTCGGTAGTTGAAACTTTCACCTATCAAAACAATAGATAAGGGTGGTAAGTGGTTGCCAAGCGCATATAAATAGTGAAACAACAAACCCACAAATCCAGACGTGTCAAAAGTGCCCATGTTCGATTTCTAGAGACTGATACCATAGGAGTCATGTTCTTTTCAAGTTGTACTCTTTAATTAAGCTGTGTTTCAAACCCCATGGGGTTTGATGACTTCCGCCCAACGTCTTCCAAACGTGCTCGGCTCCCACTTCTGCGAAGCACTGGTGATGAACCGCGCAGATGCAGGGGTCGCCCTTGAGCTGATGAAATGTAGAAAGGTTGGCCATGTAAGGTCTTGCCCGCGGAAATAAGGTGTGATGTTGGTTTATTATAATCCCCTCCCGTGATAGATATGTGATAATATATATATATATATACATTATAGATATTATGTATATATTTATTATGATTATTTATATAAACCAAGCTAGCTGGTGAACGTAGTTAATGTAGGGCACCACCTTGTAGGGTGTTGCATTCACGTCGTTTGTGTCACAGCATTTGGGTTTGAATCAGTAGCTGTCACAGCTGTAATGCATATTTCAAGAAATCGTTGGGTTGCGACAAATCTTATAACGTGGGTAAAACAATGTCATAAACCATCCCCCCATTCGCAATCTTTTATAGGTGGTAGTTTTGCCATTTCCAGTCATGGGTGGTTTATGGCATTGTTTTACCCACATGAATGTCTCAAAGCATGACGATATTTTGGATTCGGATGGTTCACTTGGAACTGCATAGTGATTTCACCACAAGATCTCACCATTTTCGAGAATTATTTACGAAGCCACATAGAATCCATATTACATATATAACATGACCATATTTCGAATCCATATTCTAAATTATCTAACCACATATTACCACATAGAGTTCTCACCTACGTCTCCGTGCCCCATAGTCGCAAGATCACCGGCTCTGTATCTACAATTTAAGCGTGGTGTTAGCGGCATGGATCTAAACAACAGGATCATGAAAGTCTGGTTGAACCTCGCACAGTCAGGTGAACAAAATGTGAAGTAATTCTGATCATCACCAGCCAAACATGATCATCACTAGTGTCAATGGATTGGTTTAAGGGACAATTTACAGGAAAACCCCATATTTCCTGGGAAAATCTGAAAATCTATGGTTTCCGGTTAAGATTTTCCCCAACAAACCAATCCATTGATGGTGGGATGATAGTCGGAATTCAGCAGGTTGATTTCTATGGGGCATGGCAAGTGGTTGTACAAACATATATGTTTCAAGCCAGAAACATTACCCTCTGGTAAACTAACATAGCGAACTGGGAAATCACCATTTTTTTATGGGTAAATCAACTATAAATGGCCATTTTCAATAGCTTTTTGTATGTTTACCAGCGGTTTTTTTTGAGCTTTCCAAAGTCATGGCGGTACTCCAAGTCATCCAAGTGATTTGACCATTACTTAGTATTGAAACCTATATGGTGACGACTGGGGATCCTCTGTGCAAAGCGATTGTCACATTGAACAGTTTAAGAATTTGGATGCGGAGGTTAATGGCTATGTGTATCCAACCGAAATTATGTTTTTTTTTGAACATGGTTAAACCAATAGTTCAGCAACAAAAATCTTCAGCAACAGAAATGGTGTTATAATTTATAAGTTATAACGAGTATATCAATGGGAACAGTTCTGGATGATGTTGCGGCCCAATGTAGTTTCATCATATGTCATCATGTTTCAGGTTGGTGAACTGCTATAGTTTATCCATATTTATCCCGTAAATATAGTCATTTCCATCCCAACTTTGATTCCCCATCCTGGTGTCTTTTTTTCATCGTAGTGTTTTCAGGGTGATGTGGGCGCCCCTCGCCAATGTTTAGTCAACTGCAGCCTCCCAAAAATGGGGGCCCCGATGTGTGGTTTGGATAGGAAGGGTTCAGCTGGCCATGCTCATGCCTCAATTTCTTTGTGGCACGGATTGGAATTAAAGCACAGACATGGATGTAAAAATCTGGTAAATGCCCAAGCATTGGCGTAACTATCCCATGGTAGCTAAACATTTCAGGTGAGTGAACTATGGCATAATTTATCCAGAACAGCTGCCGTGCGACTACCTCCGTGTGGTGGCAGCGGAACCCGGTATCTTGGTCCGGTGCCGTGGTACAAAATGTTTGCAATAAAGGAGTGGCCGTAGAAGCCACCAATAAGACCCATTCAAGATGTGCTCCTGAAAAGCACCAAGATCCCCACAAAAACCAAATCAAAAAAGATCAAGTGAGACAGGGGCGACAGGCATTTGGGCTGCCAAGTTCTGCTTTCTCTGCCATGCTGATGCTGCTGTGGCTGCCTTGCTGCTGCGGCTGTTTGCTTCAACCCCCTGAAACCCCCTGGTGGAATTTTGGGAATTCCTTTGAGGGTTTGGTCGGTGGTTGTGACTTGGAACAAATTAGATACCCTTGCCCTTCGGGCACCCACGAGCTCGGCGCGCAATACGTGGCAATGACCAGTCATGGCGATGCTGAGCTGTTGCAGTATGAAGCTGCGGGCAGTGCAGATCAGCGCCTTGCTGCGGGCTTCCCCGTGGTTGCGGCTGATGGAGGCGCTGCTGGGATGGCGGCTGTGAGCTTTCCAACAGGTGCCGCTCCTTGGATCGGATCGGCGCTCGTCTCTTGGATGGGATGGGCTTTGACGTGGACTGTGCCCACATGGCTAGTGGAGTTTTTGGTTTATGGGAGTTTCTTCATCTTCCATTGGCATTGGTTTGATGTCGGTCGCCGAAAACTTAACAGTAGGAAGAAGACCAGGAAACCACGAATTTCCTTTGAACCTAGGACCCGTCGTCGACTTTTGGGCCGTTGTCGATGGGTTGGTGGTCGCCGGTTCTTGTTTAAGGTTCGTAGGTATAGAATTTTGGGTAGACGAACAAGAAATTTTCTTTTGCATCAATTGCGACGAGAGAGACTCCATGTTTCCCGGGCCCGTGTTGCTCATAACGTGGTTCATTGCCGCGTGACTTGGTGGGCCCAGGTGGTGCGGTGGATTTGCGGGTGGTTAGGATGTCGGGTTGGCGAAGCCTCTCATCCTGGCCCTGGACGGGGCAGTGACAGAGACAGACCAAACAAACGCAAAGCTGTGTCAGTTACCGCTTCTGATCATTCAGCTGATTCTGGTCTGGCGGCTGCTCTCCTTGAAGTTTTGCAAACTTACCAAAAGGGTGGTCCTCATCAACCTCATGATGAACCCCCCCCTTCCAAAAAGGGGAAAGGTGGACCCAAACCTAAGACTAGCCAAACTTCGGGATCGCCTTTAGCGCGAATCCTCATTCAAACCATTCAAGCTGCCTTGAAACAAGGGGTTTCGGATGAAGTGGTTGCCAGTCGTGTGATTAATAAGATTTCGAGACATGGACCTGATGATACAGCTGAACTAAGGGCTGCAGAATCAAACGGCCCTCGCAAAGTCGAGGGCCCTTCTGCCCAGTTGTCTGATACCAAAAGGCAACTTGGCGAAAAGTTGTTTCACAAAATTTCGAAACTTTCCAACCAAGCCGGCAAAGTCACTGGTATGTTGTTGGAGCAACCCGTCAAGGAGATTAACAAATGCCTTGCTTCAGACACTTTGCTTAAAGCTAAAGTGGATGAAGCCCTGAAGTGCCTTGGATCTGCCAATTCTGGGTCATGGGCCGACAAAGTGACCCAATCTGGCCCCATCCGCCAGGATGTCCCCAAGTCCAAAGGCAAAGGCAAGCAGGCTGGGCTGTTTGCCCAACGACAAGGGGCGAAACCTCAGCGCCAAACTGAAGCTAAGGCCGCCCACTCTGACCCTGGGTTTTCTGCGTCCTCAAAACAAAGCGGCCGCCGCTTTGCTGCCAAGATCAGTGATTCTGAGTGGACTGGAGCTGTCAAACTGACTTCCTTGCCCCAGATCCTGGGCGCTTTGCGCGACGGTGAGGAGGTCCCTGGTAATTTGGTTTTCTCATCAGACCCTTCAGTCGCTGATGAACTCAAACAAGTCTGGAATGCATATGAGTTGCAGCAGCCACTCACGGTTGCGATTGCCATGCCCCCCGACTCTGCGTTTCCCACCGTTTCTATTTGGTGGAATAATGCCAAGGGTACCCGCCCCACCCGCACTAAGGTCAAAACCGTGCAGGTTACTGACATGGAAGGTCCCACCCCCAAACCAGCCCAGGTGGTTCCACTCCTTGCTGTTCGGGGTCCGAAACTTGTGACACTTAGGCTGCTGACTCCTCACTTTTACCGCAAATTTGTTGCCGGCGTTGACCGCGAAGACAGCCCTTCGACTGTGATAGCTGAATGGGCCCAACAAACGGCCACTCCTGTGGCCTCCTTCACGGGAGGACGATGGGAGAAATTGGTTCATCCCAAAGGCAACATCCTGATAGCGCATCTGCGCGTCCCGGAGCGCTTGGCTGCTCAGGTTTGTGACTTGTCCGGCAAGAGAGCCTTGTTTGCCACGGTCGTTACCAGAGAGGACCGCCCGCCTGTTTGCTGGATTTCTAAGGACAAAACCCTTTCAGATGAACAATATTTCAGATCTGTTTCTGCTCAGGCGCAGGCCAAGGGTGTGAGTGTCGCTCTGAGACAGAGTCCTCACCACAA